TAAGAGAAGCAGGGAAAAGAGTTGGACATTGAAGTGAGCGAATCTACTGATATTGAGTGAGAGCCCATGGATAATTGACAGCTATGTTGTTTAAATGCTAAAATAACAGGCCTTGAATTAGATCATTTTTAAGCTATATATAACATTAGCATTGAACTTAATCTTTATTTATTTACATTCAGAATAGGATAGTTGAACCTTCAGGACATTTATTTATGTACATACTGCTGAAGGGCTATATTCTAGTAGGTAGCTGTCTCGAACATTTTGATAATAATATAACATAGTAGTAGATGTTGTAGTGGATGGTGGTATTGAGCTTGATTGTTACTCGGAATCTGTTATAACCAAAGCAGTCTTGCGCCTCTTGTAGCATTTGATCTTTTCTGTGTTGTCTGAATCAACGACTGCCTTTCCTTTTTTCTTTGCTTCCTCTGTTTGTGAATGTGTCACTTCTTGATCAGATTCCATTGAGTGTGAAGTTGTGGCGGTGTAGGCCTGTTGAAGTGCCTTCCCCCTTTTCTTTGCTTCCTCTGTTGTTGAATGTGTTGCTTGTTGATCAGATTCCATCAAGGTTGAAGTTGTGGTAGTGTAGGCCTGTTGCTGTGGTTGGCAGCTGCTGGTGGAGGCTATGTCTTTGCTTGAGGCCTATGATCAGTGACATTTTGTGGAGGCTTGTAATTAGTAATGATGTAAAGAATCCCCCCCCCCCCTAAAGCAGTGGTAAAATTCAGGACTGAGTTGGTCACATTATCACACTCAGAAGTTCTTTCAATCGATGTTGTAATTGAGCTTTAGTAGTGTACCTTAGTTGGGAGGGCATCATATGCTTCTATACTTTGTTGATCCATGTCCGAGACTTTGGTGAGAGTGTATGTGCTTGAAGATTGCTCTATATTGTACCTAGTCATTCTGATTCTGAATTTCTTGGTTTTTCCAATGAGGAGAGAAACATGTTCTGGTGGTTGCAGCATATCTCCGTTGTTGGCATGGAGCAGCTGTTCTGCTGTGGTGTTGAAGAACTTTCTGCCCGTATGATCAAGGATAACGAAGTATGCTGTTGTTGTTTTATCCTTCACTGAAAGCACAATTCTGTACCTGTTGGAAGTCTTTGGGTTATGGTTGATGATTTAATAGTATCAAAGTGTTTTCAATAGAAGTTTTGTAATGTGTATATTACCTTGGGACTCCATTAATTGTGTTTTGGTTGCACTGTTGACACCAAAACTCAGGCTGACCTGGTGGTATTTTTTTGGGGCAGTTGGAGCAAGAGTAGTAGCACCAATCTTCCAAAACATCCTCAACTTTGGCGATCACATCATAGTATCTCCCCTAAAGAAAATAACATTTCAATATGGGAACTTATTATTGATTTAGATTCAGTGTTTATACAGCAAGCTAATTAGAAGTACCTCATTTTCCATATTTGCCTTCTCCTCGTCAAGTTCGTCTATGGTCACTTGTGGAGGGTCTTCATGGTCAGGAATATTGTATTGATTGGGAGGTTCAACTGCAGCTGCTATGGCGGGTTGTGGATTGTTTTCAGGCAGAATTTGTGGAATATTTAAGTTTCCATAAATCCTTGTGGATGCGGTGGATGACAAAAATTTGACACCTGCATGAAGTATTATGGTTTATTTATGGCTAGGTCTGACATCCTCTTTGTTTTATGCGAGGCTTATTTTTTTATGAAAGTAATAGGTTTGAAATTTACCTTTATAGTCTTTGACAACCACGGAAGTGATGATTAAGAGTATTGGAACATTAACATTGGCATCGATAATGCGATTGAATTGGTCGATAATGTCTCCCCAAATTGTAACTTGAATTTGCTCCTCCCTGTTTTAATTGTATGAAGTAGAATCAGGTTCACATGTAAACAGTACAGTGGAAAATCTAAGGCAGATTAGTTTACCCTGGTAAGGCAATTTGCAACTCTTTTCTGACCGTCCTTGTTGTTCCGTTGGAATGGCTAGCGGTTGTTGAGTACTCCAGTAGACGGCCGAAGGCATCTGCAGTTAATTCATTCATTAAATTTGCAATTAGTTTTCATTTTGCTATCCCTAGTAGAATGCAAAGCTTGTTTACCACTGAGTATCGTAGTGTCAAAGCATTTGCTGGTGACTTCAGTAGCTTTGATGAACCGGAATTTGTAGCGGGGCATGTCATCATCCTCCGCTGCTGGATGAATCATTGTTTGGGTGGTGAAGATGATTGTGAGCGGATTGTCTGTTGGCTCGTAGTTTCCCTTGCTTTTCTTCACAATGAAAGCATTGATGAGTTAAATCCTCTGTTCTTCAAGGCCAGGTTTGACTATGTCTATTAAAGGCTTTGGCACTTGTGCTAAGATGTCGTTTCCCTGGTATGTGTTAGGGCCAAAATTATGTTATGTAAGAGATATCAAAATAATTTGTTTTCATTTTGAATTTACAGAGGAAGGTTCAGAAGGGGAAGGGTACCTTCTCATCAATGAAAATGATGTCCAAACGCATGATGACTTTGGTTTTGATGTTGATTGCATCCCACATTCTAGAAAGTCTTGCTCGAATTGTTCCCTGGAATGGTCCTTCTTGAAGTTCGTCCAGCAGCGTGTGTTCCATTGTGAGATTCCGGTTTTTGTCCTTGTGGTCGTTTGTTGTCTTCAACGACCCGGTAGATTGTCGGTTGGCGATGGTTGATCTTGCGATTCTGCTGCAAAATCCTGGAGAGTTTTGCCTTAATGAATTGGTGTAGATGACGATGGTTGAATTGACAATCGCAGGCAACGTCTGCCGGTGGAGGTTCGGTGTTGTTTATATAGTGTTTCATTAGTGGCAAAGTCGGAGGTTATTGACAGTTGGTTGGAGTTTGAATTGGGCGAAACGTTGTAGTGGTTTGTTGGGTTTAAACTTGGCGAAGTTGGAGGTTACTGGCAGTTTGTTGGTGTTTGAATTGGGCAAATCGATGTACTGGTTTGCTGGGTTTGAACTTGATTGTGCATCGTCGGGGATGGGGGCTGGAGATTAGATGAGATGTTTGGCGATACCGTGGTAGGGTTTGCCGATTGGCTAGGTGGTGTATTTGTTGGGCCGAAAATTAAAGGTGGAGCTAGGCGCTTATTTGTTGGGCCGCGCATGAATGAAGGGTTAATAAAGCCTTTAAATTTGAAATTTGGCCCATTAATTAAGCAAACATAATTATTACATTTCATTTTTATTATTTCTCTAATCGAAGATAGCAGCTCCTACCACAAATGCAGTCCTACCAAAAAAGAAGAATAGTAACAACAATAGGTTTATCAAATAATTATATATATGTATGGTGGAGTATTTGGTGCACCCACTTTTTTGGGTGCATTCAAAGAACTTGCCTCATAATCATTATTCGAGAAGGCGATTTAGGATATCAGTCATCACTTGTTGTTTGAAAAACAAAAAACACATGAATTTGTACAAAAATCATTCAAGATTTAATTTAATTTGAATGATTTAGGGTTTAGAAATTTAGGGTTAGGGTTAGGGTTTACAATTTGGGATTTTGGGTTGAATTCAAAATTGAAGATTAAGGGGTTATGATAATCGATTGATTGTTTGTGATTCTATATTATATGGGCATATTAGACTAATGCTACCCATCAAAATTCAAAATTCGATGTATTATTACCACTTTTAGAGTTGGGGCATTGAACGCACCTAAAAATTGAGTGCATCGAAGTAGCCACTATATATATATATATATTTGCTTCTACGGTACCTCGGGTGAAATTCGGGATATCGTATACCTTAAGTATGAAAAGGATATCTAAACCTAGAATTAGCAGGATTTTAGGGTCTGATACTGAACCCTAGGTCCTAATTATCTATATCATAGTATATAAACCTCAAGATGGTGCATTCCTTTTTGTGTCTATATTGGAACGAATTATAACAGTCAATTATTGTTTCTAATAAAATTGATCTTGGAGTATAAAATTGGGAAAATTAAGACATATATTTTGATCTTTGAGGGTTAGGGTATAGTATCATGTCCAAAGATCGGTCAATTCAAGGTCTAGATAGCGTTTCCATACTCAAGATATGCAATACCCCGAATTTCATCCAAGGTATTGTAGAAATATATATATATATATATGTATATATATATATATATGTATATATATATATATATATATATATATAGACACACAAATATTTCTTAAACAGTAGGTAAAGTTTAAGTTAGTCCAATTGTAATGTAATTGTGTATAGGAGGCTGGACGTGGAATACAATTATAACCGTGTGCATAATGATTTTTTTCTCTATTTTTGCTTGACTGCTCAATAATCAGAGGCTATATTTAAAAAAATAGTACTAAATACTTTGTTTAATACACATGTATATACTTATAGGCTTTTTATCTCTTTAAAACTTTTGTATTGCTATTATTGTTAATATATTCATTTTTCCACGTTCTTCTAATAAACACATATAAAACAATTATAACACGTTCAATATTTGTATGTAATGAATTAAATTGCTAACTTAAGTATTATTTATGGTGGTTATTTTTTTCCAGTACCTATGTTGAAGAACACATAGGAGGAAGAGTTGTTCTTTTAAAGCTAAAATAGTTAGATGCTAAATAGAGCCTTTGCTGAGGACGCTAAACTTTCGTGGTGGTTTTTGGTTTCATTGATTAGTGTAGTTTTGAGTGATTATATTGATATTGTAAAGCTGGCATCTTCTGTGCAGCTTTACATGTTGGTTTCTAACTTTAGTCCGTGTTCTTCATTTATTTTTTTGTTTGGTTTCTTACTGTGCTATGCTAGAGAAAGGAGCGGCAGTGTTCACCTGTTTAAAAAGTTTTCTTGCGAAATCAATATATGCATGAAGGCGTACATAGAAAGTGTTGTTAAGCAACTCATAGTAAACAAACCAAGAGATTCTGGAAATGAATAAATAATGTAAAAAAATGATTAGCATCTTAGTTTAGCACCCTGTAATTGGTAAATCTTTTCCGAACAAAGAACAACTATGGTGTTTTATTCTTCATTTAACACCTCCTTGAAAACGATGTTCTTCATTGTCTTCACCTCTTCACCTTCGTCATTGCAGCTAAGAATTTTTAGCCCTTTTCTAGTTGTTACTCTTGAAACTGCTACATAAAGTTGACCATGACAGAATACTTGGTGCCGCAAGCATAATCCAACATTATTCAATGATTGTCCTTGACTTTTGTTGATTGTCATGGCAAAACATAATGCTATCGGGTATTGTCGCCTCCTCAGAGTGAAGTTCAAATGTGGTACCTCTGTTGTGAGCACTAATCTTGGCAAGAAAACATGGTCACCTATATGTGTGCCTGTGAGTATTTTAGCTTCAATACTCCATTGACCCAATCTGATGATGATTAACCTTGTTCCATTGCATAGTCCTGCAGTTTGGTCAATGTTTCTTAACAAAAGGACCGGGACCCCAACTTTGAGTTTCAATTCATAGTTTGGAAGGCCTCCAAGCTGCAAGGTATTTAAAAATTCAATCGGGTATTCAGGATTTGATATACTCCCAGTTCCATCCGCATTGGCAATCGAATCTGAACTATAGTAAGTTGAATCTTCACCGGGAATTTGGCTAAGCATGTAAGAGTTTATTTGTCGTACCATCTCATGATGGGGCGCTAGGATGGCTCTTCCTTGTAGGTACTCTACATTGTAGTAATTATGTTGCAAGTCTGGGTATGTTGATGCAACTATGTCCTCAACCACTGATGCATTCCGTTGTACCATTATGTCATCGGGAATCGGTATCTCTGCATCACCCATAATTGAACAATTTTGGCCATTTCCAATTGATAAAACCCAAGATGAGAAATCAGACAAAGCTGCAGCTTCATGTGGAGTGCAATCTGGTTGGTGCAAGCGCATATTCTGTGTCAATTTGAGAACAATAATAGAATCCCATAGGTATGATTTCTTCAATGAAGCTGACACGATATCAGTTCTTGTTCCCTTGGGAATAACTGGTAGTACTTGACGAAAATCACCACCAAAAACAACTGTCATTCCACCAAATGGTTTCTCACTACTGTGGGGATATCTTTGACGAAGAATGTCGCGAAGAGTTTTATCCAGTGCCTCCATGCAGTGTTTATGAGCTAATGGAGCTTCATCCCAAATAATTAGAGAAGCTTTTTGAATTAACTCTGCCAATTCATCTCCTTGACTGATGTTGCAAGTTGCTGTTGAAGAAAGATTTAGGGGAATATGGAACCGAGAGTGTGCTGTTCTAGCCCCATATAACAACAAAGCTGCAATGCCTGACGATGCTACCGGTAGCACAATTTTTCCTTTGGCCCTTAGTTGAGCTATTATAACCTTCCATAGAAAAGTTTTTCCTGTACCACCATATCCATCTACGAAGAAAGTTTTTCCCAAATCACCTGTTATTGAATCCATAATTGCTTCATAAGCTTCCCGTTGCTCAACATTCAGCAATGGCAAGTTTTGATCTGCCTCTGTAGCTAACTTCGTGGTGTTGTAGCACAGTTCTTCTCCAATTAAACGATTGATAGTTGTACACATGGAGTCAACATGTGCAGCTGGAAGTCCATGGAAATCAGCAAGTGTTTTCCCAACCTTGCGCAGCATTCTCTCAATTTCGGCCAAAGCAATCTGTTGTAGCTGTGCTGTAGGCAATTCTAAATTAGGAAGTTGTAGGTCCAGCCGTTGTTGGTACAAAACACCGTCACACAGTATGTCACTATTCTTCTCCCATAAGCTTTTCGGATCTGAAACTTGGCAACATGTTAAAAGAGTGACAAACAGCCTGCGTAATTGGTGTCCAGTTGCCCAAGTTGAGGCCTCCTGTAAGCAATCATTCCATTCATCGTCATTTTCCAAGAACCCCCTAGCATAGCAAGCTTGTTGAAAAGACTCATAGATGACACCGTTAAAGGTTCTTATGTCTTCAAAGCTTTGGCAACCTTTTACAACATGCAACAACATGCGAAGGTAATACTTATCCTCTGCTGATGGGTGGGCAGTATATAGCCTTCCAATACTAAGTTTGGACTTTCTTCTTCTCCATTCTCTTGTATCAGCATCCCAAACATAGTGATTAGGGAAATTCACATATGTGTGCTCTCGAGCATCGGGATCAGCAATGTTTGTCTTCATCCAAGCAATGAGCATTGAATCCTTTTCACCTTGTTCTTTAACCTTTTCTATAGGTTGATTTTCTTCATATACTACAGGTTGTTCCCCGGGAAGATGGTACGACATGCGCAAAACAGAAGGCCGATGATGATGGATATCAAACTGAAAAATTCGCCAACTTGCTTCCGGTGCTGAAATATATCTACAATCCATGAAAGATTTGATTTCATCAATGCAATGATCTGCTGATGGTGCACTTGATGACTGAACAGAAGCAGGACTTCCACTTTCCACTAATGTTGCCAATGTTCGATCGGGACTTTTGGTGATGTACTTGAATAAGTATTTAATTGACCTACAAAATACCAAATTTCGTTTTAAACTATGGTTCGTCAAGTGCGAGGAAGTTGTCTAGTATCTAGAAATAAAGCTACTGTAGTTGAAAAACTAAACTCAGTAGGCAATAAACAAATGGCTACTAATAGTAACTTTAGTACATGATTGCTCGTGGAAATTAAGGGGGCAAGGGGAAGCCATTTAAAAAATAAATTTGAATGTAAGTTAGAACACCAAACCAAGGAATAGAACTTCCATTGAAGGAAGAAATAACCTACTGTAAATTAAACTATGACTATACTTATTAAAAAAAAGAGTAAAATAAGGCAAAAAATAATAGTAGCATGCACATATTTAATTCCTATGGACTAATCCAAAATCACCGCTATTCCAATTGTGAAACATAATTCACCATTATCATTACCAATACCAAAACATATTATCTTAAAATCGTATTTAAAGTGGGGGTTCGTACCTGGATTTATTGCACCATTCAACATTAATATGTGCTCCAAATCTGAGCAAAAGGTAGCGATTGAATGGAACAACAAAGCGATTATCTAGTGGGATGCCATTCTTTACTATTACGCGTCCATTTTGACGCCTGCGATAAATAGGGAATCCATCCTCATCAATTGATGTTTGAGAATGAAACTTTTTTGGGAAATGGCGTCCACATTTTCCTCCCGAAGTGCAAATAGCAGAAGGTTGTAAAACACCGCAGGGTCCATGCATCATAAATTTTTCAACTGCCCGATAACATTCTGGGTCTTCCTCTTTGTCTGGTATTTCAGCTGAAATAATGGAGTCAATTCGATCAGGTCCAATGAACTTGTCTTCAGGGACTAAAAATATGAGCAAATGTGCATGCGGGAGGCCTCGCTTCTGGAATTCAATTGTGTAAATCTCTGCAAGAAAGAATTTCATAATGATAAGATAGACGATATATAATAGTAGAAGAATATGGTGGATGAATGGAAAGCAGGGAAAAGTTCAGTACCACTATATGGAAAGTTGGGAAATTAGGTTTACAGAAAAAGAATCAGTGAAATAATTGTAAAAGTTATATTGATCAACATGTAAACATAAAACACAAACAGGTGTGAATTTAAAGGCAACAAATAAAATACATATGTCTTGACACCTTTATTGATAAGAATAAACAAAGGGAATTTGGTTACTGTAAAGAAAATAGGTGATCCAATGTAACAGGTCTCTTGTAATTAAACAACATGGTATAAAGAGATTACCTGCACATGTGCGGCCAAATATTTTTTTGGTTTTTATCTCATGAAGCAATTCATTTAATTTAATCTTGAAAATTCTTGCAATAATATCAGCTCGGTTTGGATCTTTCCAGCCGTCCACCTTAATGAGATCAATGATATATTGTATCTCAGGCCATCCCGCATTGCAAGTGAATGTCAAGAACAAATCTGGATACCCAAACCATCGACAAATAGCCATAGCATCTTGAAAGTTTTCGAACATATAGCGCGGACTACCTGTATGAGAAGATGATAGAATAACATGCTTGCCAGTCAAGCTAACATCTGTATCTCCACTAAGAAAGGAGTCAAGAATACCCGAGAAGATGTTGTAACGAAGCTTCCGTTGATTTTTCCGAATCCAGTCCAATCTCTCAGCTTCAATGAGTGTATAAGCATTGACTACATACTGCTGAAATAACTTCCCAGAAAGAAAGAGTGTGGATTCTTCATCTGATCGAGTTTGTAACCGATATGCATAAAATTGCCTCTGGGTCATAAAACCATCTAAGGTTGTGATGTCTGGGCGCCAACCATCTTCACCATATGGAAACAATAATGGATATTGTAATGACATTAAACTGGGATGTCGCATGCTAATTCGGGTCAATTGATTTGACCGGAGCTTTACGACAATGTCCTGATCATATGTTTCAATTCCAGTGTCATTAACAACCAACGCTGCTAATTCATCTGTAGTAGCTGGCAAAGCATATTCTCGTCCATCTCTACTTCGCGCTGCGAGTAACCTAAGCTCCATTTGGTGCACATCTTGACCTTCAACAATGTCTCTTGCATACCTGAATACTTGCACTAACTGATTGTGTTCATCAAGCATATCTTGCAGCTGTCGAATGAGGTCATCTCGCAATGGGTTGGAGCTTTGTGGGACATTGTAAGCACGCTTCCGATTGGTGATCTCTTCATTAGTGTTGTAAATATATAACTGTGCGAATTTGGGAAGAGAATCTGTTGGTGGAAGTAGGGATCCGATATGATGATAGACTTGCCCGCCAACACAGAATACATAAGGCCCACGACCACGATTAACTGAGTGATCAACCTTTCCACCCATTGAAGTAAATGCAAAAACTGCATTGTATGCACGGATGAATTCCCGAAAATGTTTCGCCAAACTGTCGTTTGATTCTAGTAGCCATTTGAGGAAGGGTGGGGGCTCTTTAATTGGGGGTAGCTTGACCTTTCCTTCCATACAACATAAAGAGAACTTGGGATTCTTGTGATTCCTGGATGCTGATGTGCTTTCTTGCCTCCACATAATAGCCCCACAAAATTCACAAATGCAATCAGGAGGGCCCAATGTAAATTGTTCAACCGATCGGCAACCTAAGATGCAAACAAAAGAGGACAAAAATGCCTGTCAAAATTGGTTATTGACAAATGTCAACACTTCTTACAGAATCCAAACCGACCGACCTATTAGTCTTTTGCGTTTTTTCTGTAGTTTGATTCTACGTTGGAGTCGATTGGACCGTGCGTTCAGCTTTGTCAAGGTTTGTTGATAGCCTGTGAACAACAGAATTTTTAATTGAATCATCAATGGACTTGGAATTCATACATTTGGACAATTCATAATCATATACTCACGGAAGTACTTACCCTCTTCCATGCAAAATAAAAATATGATAAAACCTTATAATGATATATGTTGAACAGAGAGGAAAATAATTAATAGTATATATTTCACATATGTTTCACAGTTGCATGTGCCCTGAAATTGTTTTTGGTCTGAAAAGATATAATCATACACATTAAGATATGTTAGAGGGCTGCATGGAACACCAATTATTAGAACAGTTGGAAGAATGAGGATAATAAGAAAGAAGTTGAGAGAGGTTGGAGCTCAACATACGCGACATTAAGAACGACCGAATATGTGGTTTTCTTTTGAACAGCAAGTGCAGACGACGCCTCTCCCTCGCAATTTTTGACAAAGAAGCTTTCACTGCTGAGGGGATCACGTGAAGGTGAGTTGGATCTGCTTGCATTTGATTTAAGTGGTTAGTAAAATAGTTAAATATTAAGTTTGCGATGTTATGGTGGGATCATACCTGATGTATGTAAGGTAGCTGGTTCTGTGGAACATCGTTGCGCAGCTGTGGGCAGCGTGATAGCAGCAGAGACGACCAAAGAAATAAATGTTAAAGGTGCGAGGTGATATGAGTGGAAATAAACATCAAGCTAAGATCCGACAAATGAGAGCCAAAGTGGGAAAAAGATGATAATGAGAGAAATAAAGCATCAGGGTGCAAGACACAGGTGGATATTAAACATACTTTGTGCAGATGCTACAGCTTCTAAGGTTCGCTGCTTTTTTTGTTGAGGCCCGTGAGACACCATGGGACGCTTACCTTTCCTGTCCATTAAGGAGGCAAATATAGCAACCCTTGCAGCAACGCCCACCTGTAACAATAACATAGACTGAATATAGCAATCGGACTTGTGTAAAACTGTATTAATACCTCGACTAAACAAATGAAATGAACCAAAAAAGCAGAGATCCTCCTATACCAAATGAGCTGAATAGGCATGCAATTTTGCAAAATGAACAAATGATCTGAAATCGAATTGTACATTGGCGGCTAATGGAACTGAATATTGATTGTTGGTGGTTCATAGAAATATTAGATGTATAGTAAGCACAAATGATCACCTTGTTTAAGAGAGGCTTGAAATGACAGTATGATTAATCGAAACTAAAAGTGAAGTGTCATTAATCAACATTCGCCACAGGTAACAACAATGATTGCTTTTGTAGGTGGACAAACTTGGCTCCTATTTCCTCTCATGTTTTTGTTCTGTCTGGGTTGTATGGTAACTACGGGCCAGTTGGGTACTTCCGACCAGGAAGGCGTGGTTGGGGGTTGTTAAGGGTGGTGGGGGGTTGTTAAGGGAAAACGGATGGAACTGCTTAGTTGGCAGCATAAGTTAGTGTTGCCAAGGCAACCAAAGAGTTGGTTCTACGGTATCAATTCCAGTAGAGATCTTCCCTCACCAATCTAATTGAGTGTTCCCCATGGTAAGTTATGCTCACCTCTTTGAATTGATCTACCATATAAGTTTACTTCATCGCCAATCTCTTCTACGTTGTTAGTTATTCACATACTTCCTTTCCCTTCCTTTTCCCAATGTAATAGCAATCGGAACACATAAAAGAATCAGTATCGGAGTCCGGTCTATAGCAACGGACAGCAGCCATTAAAAAGGGGATTGAAAAGCATAGACATTGGTAGGGATTAAAAAGGGAATTGAAAAGGAAAGCATAAACAGAGCAGCCATTAAAAGGGGCAAACAAATTGGAGCTTTAATCTATGTAGAGGTGGAATTACCTGTGGGAATCCAGATCACTTGTTGGGAATAAGAATATAGACGACGTTGCTGGTATGTTGAGCGCAGTCGGCGGCGGGAACTTTGTGGGTTCGCCGTACGGTGCACAGAATGCGATGCGGTCAAAGAACGAAAGGGGAAAAGGAAGAGGACGGTCGGCGGATGGGGAATCCTGGGTCTGCAGAACAAATGACTGAATATTTTGAGGGCGATCGCGACAGCGTTGAAAGGAAATTTGAATGTCGGCGTCGGCGCGGAATAGGGGTTTTTTCCGTATACGGAGATGAGAGGGAGGAGGAAGCAGTGGTCTGGGCGGGAGAGGATTTTGTGGGCGATAAGGGGAAAAAAACGAACTTTACCAAAAAATAAAGGGCTCAGTAAGGGGAAAGGGAGCGGGTGACGTGGAAGGCTGTGCGTCAAATGCAGGGTACGTGGCATGGGGCCAAATATCAAACTGCTTTAATGTTTTGTTAGATATATTCTTCCTAATACGTGTGACGTGGAGGAACAAATGAAAAGGGAAGAACATGAAATGAGGGCAGAAAATCGGGTCGGATCGGTGCCCCGGCAAAAGGAAACAAGCGAAAACAACGGCGGAATTTGGGAACCACATAAATTGTCGGATCCCCACCCGATTGTTCATGGGTTACGTCACTAGGCTCACTACTAAATCTTGTTGCTTTAGTTGCAAGTTACTTCAAAACTAGTAAGGATGTAGGTCAAAGCTTATATATATATATATATATATATATATATATAGCCATGTCCGACTCTGAGCTAAGTTTGGAGTAAATTGGGATGATACTTGAAAAAGAAGTTTTTTTTGCAGCTATTAGTTACATACATAAAAAAATATACGTCGAATTGGTTATGATAAAAGTACGGGTTTTTATCTTTGATTTTAGAGTGCAAAAAAGTATTGGATTTGCCTAATTTATGTCACTAATTAAAGATAAGATGACGGGCAACAATCCCCGAAGAGTCGATATATATGTCAGTAGGGTAAAGTTGCGCGTTGAAAATTCACAACGTGGAGTTCGAAACAAAACAATAACCTTTATAAGTAGATATATATCTGGCATATAATTGATATCTCTAAAAGAAACCCAAGAGTCGAATCTCATATCGAAAATAATCACATGACAGATAGCTAGGGCATTAACATAAATCGCCTAAGCAAGCTACTTTGGGTCGATGTGACCTTTTATCAATTTGATTAAGTTGAGAGGCTAATGTTGCCAATTTTCGTAAAAAAACTTCACGAAAATGGACAGCTATTCCAATCTTGATAAACAAGTTTGCTAGACATCAAAGCTTAAGGGACCAATTTGTCAGTTATCTCAAAATTTAGTGACCATTAGGGTAGCAATTGACCAAGAAAGAAATGGTTCGAAAGACGGACAGATGGCCTAACAAGGAAGGTGCTTTTCACTTTGTCTTTACCCTCTAATCATCTTTTGCATGGAGCCCCAAAACCGTAACTAAGATAATCCTTACTTTTCCCATGCAGAGTTAATAAATAAATAAACGACAGCACAGCTTGAAAACAGCAGCAAGTTAACTGCTGCAGCAGCTATAGCTAGCAGCCCTACTAAGCAACTATCTGGCAACTTGCTCTGAGTAGTTTCCTTTCTACGTCACAAAAAGATAACTGTGCCCTGACTAAAAAGCATAAACTTGTCACAATGGAGTAGAATAACAATATAACATGCACAATTAGCTACAGCTGATGTTTGGCTGCAGCATGTGAACCCTGAAAATTTAACATACTAGCTTGTTCATCATCAGTCGGTAATGGGATCCGAGATGGAAGACTAATTCATCGAGTCGGGAACACCAAATACACATCTACGGAATCATCCGAGAAAAAGAAAACACAGCTTTCTATTGCTACTGAAAGAATAATACAACATCAGCAGTTGCCATAAAAAGAATGGCGTGTATGTGATACAAGCAAGCTAGTGCACAACAGCAGATCAGATGATTAGTTCATGGAGTGATCATTGTAAGCCAGGGTAGAACATTTGAGTGGACCACGAATCCAAAACGCACTTACAAGATACATACCATTGATCCACACAAAGTCACCTGCTTTCTGCATGGAGGAAAACAATGGCCTGGCAGCAGGACCCCATCAGTTTGAGGTTCTCGGGGCAAAGGAGCACGACATTTGAAGATCATTCTCCTTCAAGGTCCCTTTCAAACTTCAACCACTTCCAATTTGCGTACAGAATCGGTTCATTATCAAACGAGCTAGAGTTGGTTGGAGGTGTTACTGATTTCTGGGATTTCGGAGAAGCAAGTAGCTTTTGCCTGTACTTTCTAGCCATATCTTCTGCCTCGGCAAATACTCTCTGCCAGGAATAAGATTAACTTGTCAATGGAACGTAGGATGGACTGGAGGTTATGTAGAGGTCAAGATGGAAGGAAACATAATATCGCAAGAAAGCACCTCTCTATCGGATAAGAATAGTCCAGGCTCACTTTCCAGGTCAGCAGTACTGCATGCCACATAAGCAAGTTAGTTACATTCATGTAAAAAAGAGAGAAAATAAAACTTAGCTAGAACTTAATTACCTGAGAGAAATTTTGCCAGGAAACATTGATTTTGCCACCAACACTTTGACCTTCTCGTCGGTTTTGAGTACATCCTCGACAGCAGTAACTCGTGCTGCGCTGATCTTTGAGATATGCAAAAGCCCACTGGAATTTCACAACAGAACTTTCAGAAAGCTTCCCCACAGCACAGTCAAGAAAACTATATACTAACAGAGGCTGGTGTGAACATTCCATTGGCGGTATGCATGCAAATAGGTGATAGCTACTTACAGATGAATAACAATATTGACTAATATTAGTGTCTAGTAAGTAATTAGTCACTCTCACCTTCTGTTACTTTCCCCTATTCTCACTTGCGCACCATAAGGGAAAATGGTCTTAATTGTTCCTTCAAGAAGTGTTCCCTCCTGAAGGGTCAACATTTCCTACAATTTCTCATTCAATCTCGGTGAACACATATTTTAACAGGGGAAAGAAGCAAAGCCTCAAACACTGAAAAGATGCAAGCAATACATGCCATCACATGAAAACTTACCCAAGCTTCTTTTTCACTCAGTATTAAGTCGTTATTACTCTCGTTTATCCGGGTTATCAGTACATTCATTCGACAACCCACCTACACCATGAAGAAACAAGAATCCATGTGAAACATTATACCAGGGTAGAAAAGCAAAGATAAGGAAAATTGGAGAGAACGAATCATAAAGCATTGCGAGTGTTCAAGCAAAATAAGGAAATGATTCAGTCACTCAGTGGTTTTTCCTTTACATTTTCTTTTAACTCCTTGAAGTTGTTCACTCTTCTCACAAGCTCAATCTTTGGAAGGAAAGCTCGTAGTCCCTGCAGAACAGAGACAACAGTCAGAAGACACTCAATGCACAAACACGAAAACCAGATGCATAATACACCAAGCAAACCTCAATTCTTGTAAGAAGACCACCAGTATTCCACTCGGTAATCTTGACCTCAATTGGCGCATTGAGTTCTTTTATCTGCTTGGGAAACACATTCGAAAATGTCAACAAGAAGTACGAAATCATAAAGCAAGTAACTAGCTAAGCTTCCTTCATTCACGAAATACTTTGACATCCCCCATAGGACATTCACATTCGCAGACAAATGTTCAAGACAAGCCAGGGAGGACAAGCTTCAATAGTAGATTTCTAATAGTTCTTAACATTATAATGCAAGCTCACAACACATTCCAATCAAACAATCACCGAAAGTCAAAATAAGCAAGCAAGAAAAGTAACCTGCCTCACTCGGTGCCAAGCGATCCTTCTGAACAGCCGTCGAGTCGAAAGCAATGGCCGACCACTCAATGTCCTCCCAAGAACCTCAGCAAACAAAACAGTCCCAAGCTCCACAACAGGCCTCCCTATCCCAGTCCCACCACTCAAAGCAATCTCATCTTTCACAATCCCAATCTTCCCTTTCCTCAGAAACTCCTCACAATCCTCCTCGTCTTCCAAATCACACAACAAACCCTCCATCTCCTTCCCACACAAAGGCATCACTTCTTTAGTCAACATTGTGCCCAACAAATCCGCCCCAATATTCACATCCAGCTTATTCTCATTACCTGAAACCACAACTCCCACCACAAATTCTCCTGCCTTCGGCTCATAATACTCCACATTCACCAATTTCTTATTACCAATCTCCCCTTCCTTCTTCTCCACAACATCGCCTAATTCACTAATCTCATCTCCAATCACTTCCCCAGAAGCATCCCTGGGTTTAAAGAACTTCAAAAACGGAGCTAGGGCTTCATCCCTTTTCCTTACCTCTTCGTCGTCCACTTCTTCCGATGGCGCCCCGTTGTCGTCGGCGGCGGTGGTGGTGACAGGGGACGGCTTATCGTGCAATTCGAGCTCCTCGTTGTCTTCCAATTCGTCGGGTTGAGGCGATTCGGGCAACTGGGTACCCGAAATTTGGTTGAGGAAATCGTTTGGAGAACAGAAGCGGATGTGGGTGTGTCTCGAGAGGGAGAAGAGGTGGAAGGAATGTGGTGGTGATTCGAACCTCTTGTTGACATGAGTCGAGCGAGGGAATCTCTGGAGAAAACATGCGGAGCACTCTAACGGCGGGAGGGAGAGAGAGTTACAGGGTTGGAGCGGGAAATGGTGAAGCTGAAGGAGTGGTGGCATACTGGCATGGCTTTTGTTTATCCACTGCGAGTCGTCATCCTATCTCGAGCGCCATTTTTGTTCATTGTTGGCCGCGGAGATATTTCCTTCTTTTTTTTTTTTAGTTTATCCGATTCAAAAAATTCACAATTTTTCTTTTCAGCTTTTATTGGGCTTTTTGGTTCAGCTAGACCAGCTTGCCGACCCATTTAGACGATGAGCTAAGCTCATGTATAAATCTGGGCCTGGATTGAGTATCTAGTGCGGGCCATACCCACTTCCATGTGTAATGTGAGTGTTTGAAATTTGAAGCACGACTACACAGTCTAGTTCAAGGATTGGGAAACTGTACTAGAAGTTATACTTACTCGTACTGAGAAGATATTTTGTATTAAGATCTTGATTCAATCATAGTTTAATCGCTTCATACCTCTAAAACTACCTACTAATTTGGGGTTTAATGTTAGTATTTTCGGTCAATTCGGACGGTAGAGTTCAGTTTCTAAGACACTGATTTGATTTTTTTTTTAAATCCAAGATAAGCCCACAGGGCATGACCCAACAACAAGATACAAAATACATAATAATAAAGAACGATAGCCCGTATTTAACCGGTTTTTAAGACATTGATTTGATTTTGTTTGTTTGTCTGGATTTGCTAGTGAAACTTAACCACTAAAAGAATCTATTTGTGGAGGGTTTTTTTTTGTTTTCTACTAATTTTTCAACAAAAAAATATTTCCAATCATTGAGATACAAACATAATTAGCTCATGAATTTTTAATTAATTAATTTTGATATTCGGTGAGCAACTTCAGCATTAAGATTATAGGAATGTTTGCGCGGGAAATATTCTCTTCTACATAATTTTGGAATTAAATATATTGATAAAGTATTAATATTTCAAATCGATTGGTAGATTAGCGGACTATATTTTTTTTGAGTATTTATTAATTCAATCGACCTATGTTCCCACAAAAAAAATTCAATCGACCTATTAGAATATGACTTGCCACATGAAAATAGCGAATATTCGCTGATAAATTGATAATGACTACAATCATTCAAACAAATTGATAATAATTAGTAATTACAAAGAGAAAATTTAAGGAATAAAGGAGTTCTATATTAGGTTCTAGGGTTCATGCATTGAGAAAGCGAGCATGTGCCAAGCTTCTTAAATTTTGGGCTGAGAAACTAGCGGTCGGAAGAAAATGGTGTGTCCATTGAATGGTCGACAAACGGTATCTATACTCCAACTACAAAAATATAATTGAGAATAGGCAATGGTACTACATAATTAAAATAGAAAAAATTAGGATATAAATTATGTACTTTATTGGATTAACAAATTAACATTTCAGTAGTTTTTTTAATAACTATATGTGGCTCAATTTATTTATTTTTTTAGTAAGAAAGTCATGAGGTTTTGTAACTATTATAGCTTGCACATCGAGATCGCGTTCGTGAAAATTCATATTCAAAGATTTGCATTGAAGGAGAATTCAGTGTCAACACTAGACTCGATGCCCAAATGATCCCCCTAGAATCGTTTAGTGGATCTAGGATTTCCTCACAGTTTGTTGGTCCATGTGGCCTGTATGAGTACTCCAAGTCGTCTTACCAATGAGATAAGCGTCTTAGACGATGAACTAAATCAGGTTTTAGGGGCAAATGCCCAGGAACTCAATCATAAGATAAGAGACATTACCTAGAAAGGCCCCATGCCGGATTATCTAGAGACATGTGCGGTGGTTTCCGATATGAAGACGGTAAGTATTAAAAGAGATGATAACTTGAGGCAATTAATTTTGCGAATTTATGCTAATATGCTTAGAACATGTAATGCATTTTGGCACAATCAATCCTTAACAACAATTAAAAAAGTAATGAGCTTTAAAGGACCTAAGAATCCCATCCTCAAATCATGACCCACACGCAATCAAGTCGTACTCAAAATTACCTTTAGAACATGTCTAACTTGACCATTAGAGTGAAATCCGAATAACTAAGTTCGAACGATGCTTGTTTTACACATAATTCAAAATCTCTATGGTCACCAATCTCGCCTATTTAAATATATTTTCACATCATATCAAAGTCTTGAGTTTTCACAATCAAACTTTTTGGCAAAATTCTATCGCCACAAGGCCGCCAAGCACTAGTTTAGGCTATTTTTCTTGGTCTCACCATTGCAAAGTCGTGGTTATCACTTAACATCATCATTAATAATTGTTAATTATGATTTGACATAATCTCGTGATTAACGAGGCACCACTCAGGTGAAAGCATTTATCATTTTTATCGTGAGAGTGCTTCCTTCGTCAGTTCGTTCGGAAAATTTTCTTTAAAAAATATGATGAGAAAACGTGTGGTTGTCGTCACGTCCCCTTTGGCTGCCACAGCCGGCGGCGGTCGCCGCGGTGGCTCTTCTGTTGGATGATTGAAGAGCAAGTTGGAAGATTACCAATTTTCACCGAACCATCAATCAAGGGGGAGCGGATCAATTAAGAACAATCAAGCCGTGATTCAAGGAACAGCTGTTCAAACCTACTCCTTCTGATCGTTTTCAAACTGCAACGGCCTCTGCACTGCTTATAAGAAGGAACGCCAGAAGGAAGGCAGGGTACTGATCAGAACAAGGAATCTCTTGGTGGTATAGGGCTAAGGGATTGGGTTTTGGGGAATCAGTGGCTTTGAATCAAGCTGAGGAACAGGTTCAGCTTGATCAAAGAGTGTAAGGAATTCCTGCGTGAATTCTGGTCTGTGAGTCGTGACATTTTGATTTTCTCACAGAGTCTGTAACCTAGCTTTCAGTTTTCCTTTTCGCGTCAATAAAGAAAATCAAAGTGTCTCTCAGGATAGTGAAGTACTATCCTGGGACGAGGAGTAGCCCAGTGGCGAACCTCGTTAAAAATCCCCTGTGCACTTTACTTTCTGCTCTGCATTTTACTTCTCTCTTCCATACTCTGTTCTCGTGTGCTCTGGCTCGACTGCATCATGGCTAGGTGAAGAAGACGACTTCTCAGTCTGTCTTTTGTCGAGTCAGGGTTGGGCTGAAGCCTGAATGAATCTTGGATCAGATAATTGATTCTTGGGCTCATCAAGGCTAAGCCCACTCGGTCAAAACCCAATCCACTTAATGAACGCGGGTTGTAAGGTCGAACCAGGATTGCGACCGGTTTGATCTGGGAGATTGACTGCCTAGTCAAAATCCCTAACTCCTCTATTCATTTCATTTCTTCGTCTTTCCATTCCTTCTACTCCATTCTCCAACTCGCTAATCTTCTCTGATTACATCTTCCTCCTCCGCCGCCGCCGCAGAGTTTTAATCTATTTTCGACGGTTGGGTGGGTTAAGAATAACTGCTAGCGGTCAGCGGCTGCGATCTGGACAAGTACACTATATGGTCCTGCAATATCTTGGATATGTACTATATGGTCCTCGTTTTCAGTATTTATGAGTTGTTCGTTCACAAAAGAGTTCGTTTGGATGCATTAGGTATATGTGATAAAATCGTACCGTATCGGTAATTTGATCGGAAAATTCTTTACTGGATTCTAAATTGATAGATGGTTTTTAGCAGTATCAAACGGTTGGACAATGGGTAAATCACGAGTTCAACATAAAGTACCATGTCGTTGACTTTTTGGGTACAACTTCCGATATGGTTTTACAATATTCGATGAAACACTTGAGTAGTGACTAGTGAGAAATTTGGCTGTCATGTTGCGGCTTGTTGGAGGAGCAAGAGATAGAAAAAGTTACAGTCGAGTTTGATAATATAGGTCGAATTCATCAAGTTAGATTATTCGAATTCAAAGAACAGTCAGATTGGAGCGATTGTCCGACACGACTTGTTCTTGACATAATATCATAGCTACTTTTTTTTCTCGAGGTCACATACTCAACCTAATACAGTCTCTGACATTAACCATTATCTTAAAACATATGGTATGACCAGCATTTACAAATTTCAAACACATGAGGTAGCTTTTGTTTGAGAGATCGTGGGAATTAAAAACTCATATTAATGTAGGTGTATTAGTACAATGATAGTTGAAAAAAGGAATGTAATTAATATGAATTTTTAATTTTCAAAGATAATTATATGCAACATAAATTTAATATCCAAAATAACTATAATGAATAGGGGTATAATTTTTCTGACCCCTTAGAAGGTAGTCAAACTAACTCATCCTAAAAGCGTGTAAAAAAGTGATTAAAATTTATATTTTCTCAAGTTGAGTGATTAAAATTTATATTTTCTCAACAATTTGAGTTATTACTATCAATTTTTTTTAATTCATGAAACAACTAATCAGGATTCAGGATAATTTATTTGGTTTAATTCGGTAAGAATTAATTTGATTGCCAAAGAACCAAGTAAGCGTGTAAGTCAGCAGTCTTTAAACTGTTTGGTACCAAAAATTTCTTATTCCAGCTTCCCCCATTTATTTCCTTCTCTTCTTCTTCTTCCCTCCATTTTCTCTGCAACTCTCCGCTCTCTTCCAAGTTCCAACCTCTGCTACGTAGCCAAAATAGTAATCCACGCTTCCATTATCACATTCCTTCCGAAATGAGAACTAAGCGAAAGCTCTCTTCATCATCAGTTGATGCAGCTGCTGAAGTCATGAAGCCCCGCTCCAAACAAATCCCGGAGGTAAATTCACCACTCCCACTCCCACTCCCACTCTCCTTCTTCCCTCTTCCTTCTTCTCTCTATGTGTTTCTTTTTGGTTTCAATGGAGTTCTGTAACTGAGATTGGAATTCCGGGGAGCGGCGGCAGAGAAGTAGGGCTGAACCGTCTAGTTGTTTCGCTTGTTGGTGCCTACAGCTCTTCTGGCCGCGTGTCGTCGTTCGCAAGCTTCTCAACATCACCGCCAAGGACTCCGACTACAGCGCCGACTCCGACTCCTGCTCCGGCTCCGACTCCGATCCTCCTTCCGATTGCGAAGGTAAACCCTCGATTTCCCCGGCCTGTGAATCAATTGCCGCCCTCCCATTAATCATTCCGCTCCGAGAGCTTGTTTCATTACTGGTTCTCGATTTGCAGAGATTGGTCAAGGAAGAAGCAGAGCCGCGTCGAGGTTTGAGCCTGACAATAGAGAAGACGACGCCCAGATTGATCCCAGTGGTATGCTTCCACAATTCCAATTTTAGACTTTTTTGGCTTTTTTACCTTCCCATTTTGTTTCTTTTCACTCGTTTCCTATTTAATTTTTTTGGTTCCTTTGGCTGCTAATTAAGCTAGAACGTCATCTGTTAATTGTTTACTCTATCTTTCAACCTATTGGTGCATCATGGTTCTGTTTCAGTCAACAATTACTGCAAGCTTATTGTAATTATCAATCCGCAATCCAATAGGATTTAGGGTTGATACTGTAAAGGGTCAACTAGGTAGAACTTTTCTGTAGAAATGGATGATCAGTTCAAGAACTGGATCTGCCATGATGAATTAGGAGTTGGACCGAGTTCCATAACCAGAGAATGTTTTGGGTCTTGACTAGCACGTGGAATTATGTAAAGGTGGTGTAGTTAACGGACCTGTATCATTAATTTAATGATCATATGTATAGTTGGAGACGTGGGAGGCACTTTCAGGAGATTGAAGAACTTGTATTAGCTGGTGTGACCGGCCCGACTTCCTATTTCTTTTTCTCATTTGTTTACTGAGAACATACTACTTGCAGGGATTTGGGGCTATCATTGTGGCTAGTTCTTGTTTTGATGATATACTAGTGTAAAAAGTTAAAGGCTTAAAGTCATTTACTCTCCCAATTTAGAATGCCTTGGATTGGTCAGTTAATGCATTGTTTCTGGACTTAGTGATTAAGTTTTTGTTGGGTGCACTGCAAACCACTGTGAGAATCAGAAAGTCTCTTACTTCATCTACTTCTGAGATGTCAATATTTTAACATTAGAACCAAGGTTTTCGTTTCAGTTTCTGCCTCCCTTGTTCTGGGGTTTACTTGAAAGAGTTTGTTCTAAAAATCATTGTATTTTGATTTTCAGATGCACTTCCGAGGTCAAGGAGACGGAAGTCAGAGACTTTTAGGGCACAGTACATAAATACGAAGGAGCTCAGGTCCAATTTCTCTTTCCTTTTAAACATGGCAATGCAAACTACAAAGATTGAATCACTTTAAATTCTGAAAATTGTTTTTAGGGCTTTCTGTTTCCAAGTTTAGTGCTTGATGTTGTATCTTTTCCTTGGCAGAGTACGAGTTGCTACATGGAATGTTGGAGGCAAATTACCACCAGATGATCTGGATATTGATGATTGGGTTAATACTCATGACCCTGCAGATATATATGTACTCGGGTTAGTTGCTTCTTTTTTCCTGGATTTGTATTTGTATTTCTTCTGATCTTTTAGCTTGTGCATAGATAAGTGTTGGAATCTGTTTCATTGAATGATACTTTTTACTCAAGCTACCAGAGGCTCGTCTCTCGAGGCAAATCTACTAGATCTATTGTGTTTTTACCTTCTTAAACATAAGATTCCATTCTTTATATGTCATCATGTACGGTGTTGCTTTACCTCTCTCTCTCTCTCTCTCAGGCTTCAGGAAATTGTACCATTGAATGCTGGGAATATCTTTGGCGCTGAAGATAATAGACCAGTCACTAAGTGGGAAAATATTATACGGGACACTCTAAACAGAATTAGACCGATGAAGACAAAGGTTAAATGCTATAGTGATCCAGCATCTCCATCAAAATTTTATCCATCTGATGAGGTTCCAGGTGTTGAAGAAGAGCTTATACTCGAAAGCAATAGTGATTTCGGAGAGGAAGTTCATCCTTTGGATGATGATTTCTATGACATTGATGAAACGAAAGATAAGTTACGCTTTTGCGATGGGCACATGGGTACCATAGATGAAGAAGTGGACCTGGAAAGGCAAACTTCTCAAAGGAGATTAGATCGAATGAATTGCATTCGCGACGAGGATGAATCACCAGAAAATTTAGAGGAATCTGGGGTACACCAGCAACAACAATGTAGAATATTGACTAGAGTGCTAAGTGGTTCTGAAAGGATTGGTTTGAGTTGGCCCGAGCAACCACTGAACCTGCTGTCTCAACATGGTTTACAGAGACCAGGCTCCTTCAAATCAATAAAATCGTTTACTGCGACCAAGTCCTTTGGAAGATACAACTCTTTCAAGTCTGTGGAAAATGATATGAAATCAGAGTTGGCTTTGCTCACCGAGATTGACCTGGAATCGCTCTTGAAACGTAAGAGAAGATCTTCTTATGTGAGGATAGTTAGTAAGAAAATGGTTGGAGTGTTCGTCACTATATGGGTTCGTAGGAGCTTGCGCAAGCATATTCAGAATGTCAAAGTTTCGACAGTCGGTGTTGGTGTTATGGGCTATATTGGCAACAAGGTCAGTTCCTCTCTTGCCTTCAAAATTTCCCAGAATTTCTTCTCCTGTATAGTCATTGTTTATTAATGAACTTATTATATTTTATGCATTGTGCTTTATGATCTTTTTTCCCATGGAAATCTTGAATGTTCTTATTCAATCATGCAGGGATCAGTATCAGTGAGCATGTCTGTATACCAGACGCCTTTCTGCTTCGTTTGTTCCCACCTGACCTCTGGCGAAAAGGATGGAGATGAGCTCAAAAGAAATGCTGATGTGTATGAAATACACAGAAGAACACATTTCCATTCTGTTTCAGGGATTGGGCTTCCTAAAAGCATCAATGATCACGAGTGAGTATACCTACATCTAATTATGATAATGCTGATTATGTTTGCTCAATGCCATAATTAGAATACACCATATCCTTATGCTGATGCACCTTTATGGTTGATCAAATATCTCTTTCTTGGTCTACTTCCATACCACTTAACTTGGGAGTAATGAAAGAAGCACGATGTTGTTCGTTTTAACATCTCTGCTTTGAATATCTTGTATCTTTTGCAGAAGAGTTATATGGCTGGGGGATCTCAATTACCGTATCAATTTGTCATATGATAGAACACGGGAACTTATTGCCAGAAAGGAGTGGTCAAAACTAGCTGAATACGACCAGGTAACAATCATTTCATTGTATGAAAAAAAAGGTATAGGATTCTAAGTTACTTCGTTCTCATGAACTCAGTCGATTTTTCATGGCAGCTCACAAAAGAACTTAGAAAAGGCCGTGCATTTGATGGATGGCGAGAAGGTAAACTAGGCTTTCCGCCAACATACAAGTACGAACTCAACTCGGATAGATACTACGGAGAGGATCCAAAGGCTAGGAGGCGTACTCCTGCATGGTAATACATAGCTCCTCGAACTTTTTTTGTCGCACATTTGTTTGTAGTACAAAGCCAAAAATGCTGAGGGTTGCTTGATTTCTCAGGTGTGACCGCATTCTTTCGCATGGGAAAGGATTCAGGCTCTTGAACTATAGGAGAACCGAGCTAAAGTTCTCCGACCATCGACCAGTGACTGCCACATTCATGGTTGAGGTCGAGGTGTTCTGTCCCAAGAAGCTACAACGTGCCCTCACCATCACCGATGCAGAGATTGAGAACGAGGAAGCAGAGATTGGACTCGATATTGGAATGAGCTACTTGCAACTCGATGAGGTAAAGCTCTGAACTCCCGTCTCTTGCTCCATCTCTTTATGTACTTCCATTTCCCGCAGTCTGCCTGAGTTGTCAGAGAATGAAACAATTTGATGCAGGAAACGTCAGTTTGGGAGATTGAGAGACCGAAATCATATACATACAACTACCCAATTAGGCAGCAATAGCTGAGTAGCTGGGGAGAAGAAAGCTTGCGGCTTGGCAGTTAATACACACATGTTAAGCCACACAAGTACAATCCAGCTATCCTACTGAATGATGGAGGTGGAATTACAGTGCTTGTGCCTCCTGGGTTGTTTGATTTGCGATCGAATGATCATGATGCACCTGAGATGCAACGAAAAGCGAGCAGCGACGATTGACTCAAGTTCTGTTTCGCACTGATCAAACGATTGAGGAAGCATAAACACATGCTTCAGCCTACTGATTTAACAGCCGTACCACGAGTAATGCGTTACTGGTTCATTTGTTTCTTCACAGTTGTATATTGGGTTATTTGTTGCAGTTATGTGAAAGGCTTCTTTTTACATTTTGACCCCCCCTAGTTGTGGTTTTTTCTCCTTACATCTAGGTGAAAGTATGTACAGAATGTGGGTAGATAGTAAATTTTGGTGAATAGAAGAGCAAGGAAGGCCTTTGTGACTGTTCTTCCACGGGACGGGTACACGTGTATATGTGTTTTCTTTTAACTAGTGTTTCCTTTATTGGATTATATTATTTTTTTCTCAAAATTCGTGATCTATAGTCTTCAAAATAGAAAAAAAATGCATTACGGAAAAATAGTCAGAAATCTGTGATGGTAACCCATTTTGTAATATGCCAAATATGTTCTCGGAATAAAGTCGTCCAAATCGGTGCTTAACGAACTTAATAATTGATGAAAAACAGTCTAAGGAGCATAAGGCATAATCATGAGAAAAAGGGCATTTCGGGAAAAATTGCCCAAAGAATTAAGAAAATGTCATCCGAAAAATAAATCGACCCAAATCGGTGCTTAATGGACTTAATAATCGGTGGAGAATAGTCTCAAGTCTAATCCGTGATATATAGCTTTCAAAATCAAAAGAAAATGACATTTCTGAAAAATCTGTAATGTACCCCTTTGGAATATGCCAAAAATGGATCCGGAAGAAATCCGCCCAAAATTGGAGGTTAATGGACTTAGTCATCGGTGAAAAATATTCACAGGCCTAATATGTCATTTGTAGCTATCAAAATCAAAGAAAATGGTTTTTCAAAAAAAAAAAAAAAGGTCCAAAAAATTACGACATGTCACGCGAAAATAAATCCGCACAAATTGGTATTTGATGGACTTAATCGTTGGTGGAGAATAGAATCAATAGACTTCCTCATTGGTGAACAATAGCCTCTGGCCGAATCTATGATGGTGCCCTTTGGAATCTGCCAAAAATGGACCCGGAAGAAATCAACCCAAATCAGTGCTTAATGAACTTAATCATCGGTGAAAAATAGTCTCAGATTGAATCTGTGATCTCTAGCTTTCCAAATGCAAGGAAAGTGGCCTTTCGAAAAAAAATTCCAAAAAAATTACGAAAATGGAATCGAAAATAGATGCACCCAAATTGGTGTTTAATGGACTTAATGATAGGTGGAAAATTGAATCAATAACCTTCATCATTGGTGGAGAATAGTCTCGGGTGGAATTGTAAGAAAATGACATTTCGGAAAAATTGCTTGAAATTTGTGTTGATACACCTTTGGAATATGCCAAAATGGACCAGCCGACCAGGAAGAAATCATGCAAAATTGGTGCTTAAATTTGTAATGGATAGCCTGCAAAATTGATGAATAATTTCATTATAAAATATCAGTTAAAATCTGTGATGGATAGCTTCAAAATCAAAGACTAATATTATTGAAAAAAATCAGCCAAAATATGTGATGGATAACCTTCAAAATCGATGAATAATAGCATTTTAAAAAATAGGTCAAAATCTATTATTCATCGATTTTGAAAGCTATCCATTACAATTTTAACCAATTTTTGCAATTACATTTTTCATCAATTTTAATGTATATCCATCACAGATTTTGGCATGTTTTTTGTAATGCTATTTTACATCCATTTTTAAGGCTATTCATCGTAGATTCTGGTCAGTTTCTTCCATTGATATTAGTCACCAATTTTGAAGGCTATCTATCACATATTTTGGTCGATATTTTAGAATGCAATTATTCATCGATTTTAAGGCTTTCCACACATATTTTGGCTGATTTTTTGGAATGCTATTATTTATCGATTTTGAAGGTTATCATCCATAACAAATTTTAGCCAATTTTTTTCAATAATATTATTATTAATTTTGCAGGTTATCTATTGACGGATTTATTCCATTGATATTAGTCATGGATTTTGAAGCCTATGCGTAACATATTTTGGCCTATTCTTTTAAAAAAGCTATCAAAATTTTTACCGTATTTTGCAAAATTTTCAAATTAGTGTTCTCCAATTTACTCTATTAGATTGTCTCTGGAAACATCAAACGTACTATTACCAAGGATTAACAACTATATATTACACTGTTAAGTAGATTGTCTCTATAATTGAGTTCAAAAACCATTGAATCCCAACTCTTATCTCTCTCTCTAACGCACATCTTTTTATACAAATTTCCAGTAAAAACAGAATCCTTCTACTTAAGCCCCTTCCCTTGTTCCAACTCCTGCATATCCATTACTATCACATGAATTAACCACCACCCCAGATGAACCCAGAAGAAGCATTGGCTTGATCTTCCAGTACTGCTGCAATCTCTGCCTCGCGTACTCCAGATAGTCGAAATCGATTTGATTCACGTATCTCTGCAAACAGATAACATGGAAAGCAAATGTCACTACTGGATCCAAAGGACTGGACTTTGCTGAACAAGTTGGAAGCATAAAATATAGTGTGTACCGAAATTATGCCCCATAGCCCCCAGAATAGATGGTTTGCTAGCTTATAGTTTTCTACAGCCTGAACTAACAGCAACACTTCATCTTCGGTTGGCTTCTCGCCAGACGAGCTAAGGTAAGCACGTACGAATCTGCAGCGCTCTTCGTGTCCTGATACAAGAAATGATGAGCTGGGCTGGGATTGAAGAACAACCAACAGCAGATGGGACATGGTAACGAGAAGGAAAGGGATCGAAGTAAGGTAGGTAAGTTACCTGGGTATTTGTCAAAATCCAGGATGTGTGGAGTATCAGAATGGTAATTCGCAGCCATTTCGCAGAAGTGATTTGCCAGGTCATAAGCAATGTGATTGTAGCTTGCATACTCGTAATCCTGTAAAGGGTTGGAGTGAAGAGATTATAAGAAACAAGCATATATACTGAAATCCATCTCTTTAGTTTGAAGCCAAACCGAACCTTTCCTAGAAGGATAAATACCTCAGAAAAGGAAGGACCTTTTCATTTGGTTCTCATTGTTTTGGGTGGGAAATTAGTTTCAGAGCTGCAACAGTTTTAACAAAAGATAAACAATCGTCACCAGTCACAAACATGCATATGCACACAGGCCACTTTAATAAGAGTTGACTAATCAGAATTATAGCATACTTAACACAGTTCTTAGTGGGATCTGGTCAGTACCCAAGCAAAACATTTATGCACATGGCAGACTTGCGACTGTTAAATATGGCTATAAGCAGCAAATTCAGCTAAAGTACAAATCTCTTACTTCTTAAAGTTAGAGATCAATTACACAGATATGGTCTATATATGGTGTTATGAAACGAAGATAAATCATAGCTTAAAACACAACAGCAACGTAAAGTGATGAACAAGTGACGAGAGAAAGAAAGTTACTGAAATGAACTTACAATCAAAGTGATAGCCTTGGTTTCTTCATCGATCATTACATTGCCATATTGCAGATCATTGTGACAGAACCCAGTCTCATGGCGCCCTTTCGAGATCTCCTTCTCCAGCATATTGATCTCGTCTTCGAAAACATCCAAGCGAAACTCTTTAGCATCTCTCACAGTGCACAAACTTTTAGCCTCACCCAGCAAATCCCTTGAAAAGAAAGAGTCCAACAGAACCACAAGTTAGTCAAACCAAAACCAAAGAAAGGAACAGTCCTGATCCCCTCAAACTGCTATTTTTCTTAACATTTCAGTACCTCATTTTGTTCCAAACTGACACAGTCTTTGAGCCAGGCATCTCCAGATTGTGAAACTCCCTCATCTTTGCTGCTATCAGAGCAGAAATCTCAGGGTCCCTTAAATCAGCAGCTGAAAGTGTCTGCAAAATCCCAAATTGGGGGAATCAGCAAAAAAAAGTCAACTGAATGATTCAATTAGGGATTTGAACCATTGAATGGTGAAAAGAACAGTGTTCAATTCTGATCATAATTAGCCTTACCCTAGCATGGATAAACTCCTCAACCCTGCCTTCAGGGAACCGGCCAAGAAGCCTAGGGCCTTGACCATGGTTCGACATACACTCAAACGTCCTGACTTCATCATCCCTATTGAAGAACAGATCAACCCCTTCGCCATAGATTCGAATCAACAGCTTCCTGTTGATTCCTTCCCCTCCTCCCTTCGTCGGCCAGTTCACCTGGTAAACCTCATTCGTCATCGCACCTTTCATTGGTATCACCTGCAAGGCCTTCATGTCTTCCACCACGTCTCCCCATTCCATGGCCAGAGACTGCAGCACTCTCCTCAGCTCCTCGGGGAAGATCCCATCGATGAACCCATTTGTCTTGATTGCCATTTGATCGAGTAACTCACAGCTACAGAGATTTCTAGACAGAAAAAACCCCAAGAACAGAAACCAGAAACGAAGAAGTGAAATGGAGATGACCCAGTAAAGATCTGCCGGCAGATTGTTCCGAATTTATAGCACTAAAACCCCCAAATTGGGAATCTGGGTAGTGGAGAAACAGGGGAATCTTTCAATTAGACGGAGTAAAGCTTCAATCTTTGAAGGCGAAAGGGAGAAATTTACTACCTCGACGCTCGGCTGGGTTTGCTCAATAAGTAGATCAGCGAACTGCCCGCGTAATTCCATCCTCTCGGATTGCGTGTCCGGAACAACTGTGAGACGGTGACGCACGGAGGTAACGACTGACCAATCATGGAAAGCCACGTAGGGGAGAATCTCATTTGTTTTTGTTTGGCGACGCGGACTGGGCAACCGTTGTGACGGGAAAGCTGCTAGGAGGTTGGATTTTCTCGAGAAAATGGGGGAAATTGTGGCGAGAAAATTAACTGTCAACGGCGCCAACTGGCTGGGCTGGGCTCTGTGTGATTATAGACCGACCACAAATCGAGTCGGCACCGAATAAAATATCGTTTTCTTCTTCCTTCCTTTTTGTGACAAATGAAATGACAGGTATACGGAATCTAATTTCCAGTGTTATTAAAGTCGAATCGAGCCGCTCGGCCCGACCGGTAAAGTCGTCACTCGGTCATAAAATCGGCTCGAAATAATCTAAAAGCCGCTCCGGTTTTATGTAGCGGTTGGCGAGTGGCCGAGGCGATTAATCGTTCGAGCCAATCGAGTCGTTCGTCCGGTTTTTTCCATTCAACCACTAAATTTAATTAAGAAAATTGCATAAAATTGAAAATTGAAATAAACCAAAAACGTTGGGCTCTCAAACTGAATCATTATTTTCATTTCACAATTTCGAAGGAAAGAGATGAGCTCTGATTAAGAAATATTCACTATTTATACTAATAATTTTTATCAGGTACCGGTTCTTTAACGGTTTTTAAACGGTCTAATGTCGGTTGGACCACTAAAGTGCGAGCCGTTCGCATTACCGGGTCATGCTCCGGTTCGGTTCTGACAACATTGCTAATTTCCCTCCGTTTTCCTTAGATATTTTCCCACCTTTCTCGTGCAAAATTCCCTATTTTCTTTATTTCTTACACCCCTTCTCAGGAAAAACAAATTCATAAACTTGAAGGTTGCAGAGATTCATCATATCATGTGCGCTGAGGTAATGATTAATATTGGGGTTATGAGGACTTTAAATACGTGATCTTGCGATCAAACCAACTCTAATACCATGTCAAGAATTAGTTGGTTCCAACAATTCGAATTGTTGGGACTTGGAAGAGGTCCATGTATTGATCTTAACCACTTTCTTACATCATCTGAATCATGCTTTCCAAGTGGGTTCGAATCCTCGAACGATCTTAAAACCCTACTTAGGAATCGAGTGCTAGGTACATTTCCTCGAATTTATTATGCATGTTTCAGAATCAATGAATCGTTCAACGAATCAATCCAAAAGTCCGTTATGAATTGGTTTGTTAATGTGACTTGAATCGGATGATCTGCCGTCGACTGGACGCACGATAAATACTTCTCGTACTCCTCTGTAATCCTGTATCGATGGATCAATCTCCTTTAGCATAGTGAAACTGGCTCTCTCCATGCCCGTGGACTAACCAACACACATTCTGTTGCTGTACCACGTAAATCCCCATATTCTTTACTTTCTTGTTGATCGTTATCTTTGTTTTATTATAATCGATTACCCCGGTTCTGAGCGTGACATCGTTGATTGCATTTCAAACGGATTTAATAATGGTAACTTGCAACATCATCGATATTCAATTCTACATTTCCACATCTCTTTGGGCCAGCTTAATAACTGATGAAGAAAATGAGGATTGGAAGGAATCTGAGTGATGAAGAAACTTATAAGTGAAGGATAAGAATTGAACAAGAAGAAGAGTTCAGGATAAGGTTTTGACTGTCCCCAATTCACAAGCAGAAGAAGCAAAGCCTGGAATGACTTGGTTATGGATTAATTTCAGGAAAGTACACAAGCAAAGATAAATGACGACTTTTTTTGCACTATGCACAAAGTTGTGTGGACTTGCTATTTCGTGTTGAATGATCATATATATGACCCATAATAATAATGGCCCTTTATTCTTTTCAAGGTCACTCTCTTTTGTACAGAATATATAGCTAGAATGGGCAGAATTAAGGGTAGTCGATGAACCGCATAACAACCCTACATTTTTACTTTGCATTTCTGACCAAAGATACCCAACAAGTCAGGAAGAAGAGTGATAACCTGTCTCGATGATTCTAGTTGTAGGAAGAAGATTAATTATAGATTATATACCATTTTCTTATATCTCCTTAAAACGAAAGATAATTGACGGACTTGAAATTTACACCGATCCACCGTAAGTCGTGGTTTAATCAACATTTAGTCGTTGAGATTTGAACACACGATTACTTAGTCATACCAACACTGATATCATGTTATAAAGCAATTGATCCCAATGACTCGGCACTATTTCTTTATCTTTTGATTTATCAAGGGATCGGATTCCACCCTTTTCGTTGGTCAAGGTTTCCTTAGTTAACTTCAAGTCTGTGAATTGAATCACAGCCTAACAACGAACAAACATGATTCGACGGTATAAGGGATTGCACTGTAATTACCATTTTGTCGTAAATATCAATTATCAAATAAATGCAAAAGAGAATAAGTCAATAATTGGGCTATATCAATCACAGAAATAAAACTACTAATTTAACTGCAAGGGGGGCAAATGTATACTTCCATAAGCTTATGACTATCCATTATTAATAATTTTATTTGACAGACTTAAAACTAAAAGCTACTAATTTTTAATGGTCGGTGCTGATTTGAACAACTGTCTGAAATATACAACTTTCTTTGCATTAAAAATATTCTCGCGAACAATGGTTTCGTATAGTTTTACCATGTTTCCCGTTTCCGGTACAACCGCTGCCACGACGAGCTTGTAGTTCGTGCCACCTGCATATCGGATTTTTCCTTTCTCAACTTTCACGAGTTGTATCGGGAAAGAATTAGATATCATATTGTAAGCATGCACTGCGTACTCGGCAATCTCTTGGACGTGCTCATCCTTCAAGTTCTTTATTGGCTCCCATTCCCATCCACCAATGGTTGCATTGGCGGTAGACAAGATGACAACAACAGTAGTCATAGCAACAAGAAAGGTAATTGGCCTCATCCTTTTAGCAATTGATTCTTAATTATCTTCAAGATTTTGTGTTGTTGCTTTGTTTGGATGTGAGGCAAGACTATGTGTGGTGTAAATTTATAGGCTTTGTAATATGATTGTAATAATAATATTTACATACAAAATAGGTATCCTTGGTTTGTATCTCTTTTTGCGTTTTGTTGTTTACATAGCCTTTTGACTCTCCTCTCCTTTCGGCTATTTGTTATATTTTGTGTTAAAATAATAATCTTTAACTAATTCTCCTATTTTTTCTTCCCCAAGATTTTTAATTATGTATATATGTAGGAACGAGTAAAATTGAATACACGATAAAAATGGGATCATAGAACATAATTATAAAATCAAAAGATTTTATTATCTACATAATAATTAATAAGACTTTGTTACGATGACTTGGTGTTAACTACAAGTAACTGTTATTTGGAGTTAACCAATGAATTTAGACAGTTGATCACCTTATGTTTTATAGGAAAGTTCGACCTACATACTAATGTTGTCAACCATGACATCTTTATCATCATACAGAAACACGTGCAACTACGATATTTATTGATATATGCATTTTAAATTGAGGTCGATCGTTACAACTTACAAGACACACAAACTACTACTACATACTACTACTGATGCGATAAGAGAAATGTTTACCTGGAACCGAACCAAACCAAACTCTTATACTACTTGCCGAAAGTAGATGGCTCCACATTAGTACGATATTATCTGCTTTTGACTAAACTCGCACAAATTTGTTTCTAGGTATCTTCTCAAAAGGCCTCGTATTGATACATTAATCTCAAACCACTGCAAAATTTGGAGACTTATTTTTAGAGATGACTGTAAAAGGAGCGTCGGGGAAGGGTTTGTTCTTGCGATCTGATGGAGATCTATGTCTGAATGCATACTGTGATGCGGATTGGGGAGATTGTTTGCAGACTAGACGTTCTACAACTGGTTACTTCATTCACCTGGGTGATAGTCTGATCTCCTGGCAGACCAAGAAACATCATGTTGTGGCTCGATCTTCAGCAGAGGCTGAATATCGTGCAATGGCGGTTACAATTAGTGAAGTTATATGGTTATGGTGGTTACTTCGGGAACTTGGCGTGTCCACTCCTAGAGCCACTCCTCTTCCCTGAAAGAACTAAGCACGTGGAAATGGATTGTCACTTCGTTCGTGAGTGTGTGACTTCGGGAGAAGTTGCGCCACAGAAGATTCACACAACTAAGTATCAGGTTACCAATATATTCACAAAGGGGTTAGGAGCGGAGCAGTTCGCAGTTCTCATTGGCAAGCTCGGACTTCACGACATTCACTCCTTCGCTTTAGGGGGAGTGTTGTGGGACACTGTTGTGTATCTAGTGCAGTGTTATACTCGATAGTGTCAATGTTATAGAAGTATGGGTGGTGGCCGAGTTTGGCTGTGTGTGTAAGTGTGTTGGTTGTTTCACAAAAAATAATAACAGCAGTATCGAAGGCTCCTTGAGTGAGCCTTCCGTGGATTAGTCTCGTTCACATCGAACGAGACTACCACGTAAATCGTTGTCTCGTTGTTGTTTACTATTTGTTTTTCTCAAACTAAGTCTATTAGAATAGCAACAATCTCATAATGAACACTATTAGTTGTCCCTTGATATTTATATATTAATAAATAATAATATAGAGTTAAGTATTACATTGTAAATTAAATATTCTCGTTGAATTGTATGATTTCGATTTTATGCAATCTTCGATTAATCACGTTTGTAATTAGGAACTTAGATATTGAAACATATTAATGTGAAGCTGTTAACTAGAAACCTTATTAGTCGTTATCACATTGTATATTGAAACAAAGAATGTAGCGAATAACCGTGATAGAAAAGGAGAGTCAATAGTCTAAGTAAACATACAAGCGAAGAAAAAGATGTTAACCATTAATAGCAATGAATTTGTTACCTAATTCAAAAACTAAAATTATCATCATAATCATGTCTTGTAGCCTATAAATGCACACACACCACAATTACACTTCCCCTCACATCCAAACACACCAAAAACAAAATCTTGAAGAAAGAAAAAAATTTTGATTAAGCAATCACTCTACTAAGAAGATGAAGAATATTACCTTTCTCGTCACCATGACTACCTTTCTAGCCATCTTGTCTACCACTACAGCTTCATGGGGTTCGTGGCAACCGATCAAGAACTTGAACGACGAGCACATTAAGGAGATTGCTGGATTCGCCGTGCAGGCTTACGACGAACAGGCTTCCGGCCGCCGTCCACCGCTGAAACTCTTGAAGGTGGAGAGCGGCCAATTTGAAGGTGTGGCCGGCGGCAAGGACTACCTGCTCACATTGACGGCGGTTGTGCCCAGAGAAGGCAGCAGAGTAAATCTATATGAGACAATTGTTTACGAGAATGTTAGTAATCAAAAGAAACTATTATCTTTCAAGAAGTTGCTCTAATCAGATTAGGTTCATGGAAAATTTAGTAGTGTTTTATTTTCAATTTTTCAATAAAAAAAAATTGAGAGCCATAAGTTTATGGAAATAATATAGATTTTTTTTTCTTTCTAGTTAACTTTGTAGTCTTTTGGGTTGGTAAATTTTTTTTTTCTTCGAGTGATATCAGGAGGATAAGAGTTATACAAACAAAACTACCCAAGAACCCCCTACTAGTGAAACCACCCAATAAAGTCGAGAGATTCTAATTCTGGGAGAGACAAAAGTAATGCTTTACGTGTCATTCCATGGAGCAGGAACCACCCTAAACTCTATACAAACGGACAAAGTGGTCAGGATTTGACGATGCTCCCGGAGCACCGGACTTTCCGGAAGAAATTTTTTAGGACACCTTGTCGAATCTGGATGACGATCACCTCAAAATCACATTCCCACTATCACTATTCACTTGTGTGATTATTGATAAGTATGGCAAATTGGTGACCACAATGGAAGCACTTTCTTGTTCATATTCAAGATTGCTTGAGGGGTTGGATTTGACAATGACATTACAGTGATGTTTTATCAATAAAACATGTAAGATAATTATTTACTATTAACGGTTTTCATCCTTTATTGATTTTTTGTGCTTACTTAAGATTTTATTCACTTATGTGGGTTTATATAAGACTTTGTTAGGGTGACTTGGTGTTAACTGCAAGTAACTGGTTTTCGGAGTTAACAAATGAATTTAGACCGTTGATCGCCTTATGTTCTCTAGGAAAGTTCGACCTACAGACTAACGTTGTCAAGCTCGACATCTTTATCGTCATACAGTAACACAAGTACGAAATTTATTGATATATACATTTTTAATTGAGGCCGATCGTTACAAGACACACAAGATACCACTACATAATAATACTGATGAGGTCAACCATTCTAGTGAAACATATCTCCACTTGCTCTGCCAGACAAATGCATACCTGAAACCGAACCGAACCAAACTCTTATACCACTTGTTTAAACCATATGGCTCCACTTTAGTACGATATTGTCCGATTTTGAATAAACTCGCACGAATTTATTTCTAGGTATCTTCTCAAAAGGCCTTGTATTGATACATTATTGTCAAACCACTACGAAATTTGGAGACTTATTTTCAGAGATGAGCAAGGACCAAACAATATTGGTTACAAGGTCAAAAGAACCTTCTCTAATAGGTAGACTATTTCCATTTTATGGATTATTCAAATCTTAAGAACTGCAGATAGATTTCGAATCGCCAAATATGCCCAAATAATAGGTCATATATATGACCCATAATAATAAAGGTCCTTTATTCTTTTGAAGATTGCTCTCTTTCATACAGTATATATAACTGGAATGGGCTGAATTTATGGGTAGTCGATGAACTGCATAACAACCTTCCATTTTGTTCTTTGCTTTTCTGACCAAAGATTATTTCTAGCCAACAACTGAATAAAGAAGAGTGATAAATTCGTTCAACTCAATTATTCGAGTGGTATGGAGAAGGTTAATTATGAATTAGATATCACTTTCTAATATATCCTTCAAACGAAATAGATTCACATATTTGCATAGCTCCATAATAACATGTGGGTTAATCAACGATTAATACTGAGAGTTTTAAACATTTGAACACATGATTCAACGGTAAAAGGGTATGCACTGTAATTACCATTTTGCATGTCCTAAATATCAATGATCAAATGAATGCAAAAGGAGAAGAAGTCAATAGTTGTACTATATCAATCACTAGAATAAAAACTACGAATGTAACTGCAAGGGAGGCAAATGTATACTTCCATAAGCTTATGGCTACCTATTATTCATAATTTTATTTAATAAACTTAAAATAAAAAGCTACTAACTTTCAGGGGTCGGTGCTGATTTGAACAACTGTCTGAAATATACAACTTTCTTTGCATAAAAAATATTCTCATGGACAACGGTTTCGTATAGTTTTACCATGTTTCCCGTTTCCGGTACAACCGCCGCCACGACGAGCTTGTAGTTCGTGCCACCAGCATATCGGATTTTTCCTTTCTCGACTTTCACTAGTTGTATCGGGAAAGAATTAGATATCATATTGTAAGCCTCCACTGCGTACTCGGCAATCTCTTTGACGTGCTCATCCTTCAAGTTCTTTATCGGCTCCCATTCCCATCCACCAAATGTCGCATTGGTGGTAGACAAGATGACAGCAACAGTGGTCATAGTGACAAGAAAGGTAATTGGCCTCATCCTTTTAGTAATTGATTCTTAATTAATTTCAAGATTTTGTGTTGTTGCTGTATTTGGATGTGAGGCAAGACTATTTGTGGTGTGAATTTATAGGCTTTGTAATATGATTTTAATAATAATATTTATATGCAAAACAGGTAGAAGTTTGCAATTATCCTTGGTTTGTATCTCTTTCTTTGTTTTGTTTTTTACTTAGCTTTTTGACTCCTTTCCTTTCGGCTATTTGTTATATTTTGTGTTATAATAAGATTCTTTAACTAATACTCCTATTTTTCTTCCCCGAGATTTTTAATTATGTATATATGTAGAAACGAGTAAAATTGATTACACGATAAAAATGGGATCATAGAACCTAATTATAAAATCAAAAGATTTTTATTGTCTACATAATAATTAATAAGACTTTGTTACGGTGACTTGGTGTTATGCAAGTAACTATTATTCAGAATAAAGCAATGAATTTAGATCGTTGATCACCTTATGTTCTCTAGGAAAGTTCAACCTACAGACTAACGTTCTCAACCTTGACATATTTATCTTCATACAGAAACACAACTACGAAATTTATTGATATATGCATTTTCAATTGAGGTCGATCGTTACAAGACACACACAATACCACTACATACTACTACTAATGCGATCACCCGTGTTGGTGAAACATATCTCCACTTGCTCTGCCAGAGAAATGTTTACCTGAAACCGAACCAAACCCTTATACCACTTGTTGGAACCAGATAGCTCCACATTAGTACAATATTGTTCTCATCTGACTGAACGCGCACAAATTTGCTTCTAGGTATCTTCTCAAAAGGCCTCGTATTGATACATTAATCTCAAACCACTACGAAATTAGGAGACTTGTTTTTAGAGATGACCGTAAAATGAGCGCCAGGGAAGGGTTTGTTCCTGTGATCTGATGGAGATCTCCGTCTGAATGCATATGTGATGCGGATTGGGGAGGTTGTTTGCAGACTAGATGTTCTACTACTAGTTACTTCGTTCGCCTGGGTGATAGTCTGATCTCCTGGGGACCAAGAAACTGCAGGTTGTGGGTCAATCTTCAGAATAGACTGAATATCGTGAAATGACCGTTATAGTTAGTGAAGTTATATGGTTACGGTGGTTACTTCGTGAACTCGGCGTATCCACTCCTAGAGCCACTCCTCTGTCACGAAAGAACGAAGGACGTGGAAATAGATTGTCACTTCAGTCGTGAGTAAGTGACTTCAGGAGAAGTTGCGCCACAGAAGATTCACACAACCAATCAGGTTTCCAACATATTCACAAAGGGGTTAGGAGCGGAGCAGTTCATAGTTCTTAGTGGCAAGCTCGGACTTCACGATATTTACTCCTTCGCTTTAGGTGTAGTGTTGTAGGACATTGTTGTGTATTGAGTGCAGTGTTCTACTCGATAGTGTCCATGTTATAGAAGTATGGGTAGTGTTTGGTAATTAACCATATAACCCTACGAGATGGACGTGAAGGGTTATATAGGTGTTGTGGTGGCCGAGTTCGGCTGTGTGTGTAAGTGTGTTGGTTGTTTCACAAAACCTAATAACAACAGTATCGAAGGCTCCTTGAGTGAGCCTTACGTGGATTAGTCCCATTCACACCGAACAAGGCTACCACGTAAATCGTTATCTCGTTGTTGTATACTATTCGTTTTTCTCAAACTAAGTCTATTAGAATAGCAACATTTTCATAATGAACACTATAAGTTGTGCCTTGGTATCGATATATTAATAAATAATAATATAAAGTTAATCATTACATTGTAAATTAAATATTCTCGTTGAATTGTATGATTTCGATTTTATGCAATCTTCAATTTATCACATTTGTAATTAGGAACTTAGATATTGAAACATATTAATGTGAAGATGTTAACTAGAAACCTTATTAGTCGTTATCACATTGTATATGTGATGTTGTAACGAAGAATGTAGCGAATAACCGCGATAGAAAAGGAGAGTCAATAGTCTAAGTAAGCATACAAGTCAATAAAAAGATGTTAACCATTAATAGCAATGAATTTGTTACCTAATTTAAAACTAAAATTATCATCATAATCATGTCTTGTAGCCTATAAATGCACACGCCACAATTACACTTTCCCTCACATCGAAGCACACCAAAATCAAAATCTTGAAGAAAAAAAATTGATTAAGCAATCACTCTACTAAGAAGATGAAGAATATTACCTTTCTCGTCACCATGACTACCTTTCTAGCCATCTTGTCTACCACTGCAGCTTCATGGGGTTCGTGGCAACCGATCAAGAACTTGAACGACGAGCACATCAAGGAGATTGCTGGATTCGCCGTGCAGGCTTACGACGAACAGGCTTCCGGCCGCCGTCCACCGCTGAAACTCTTGAAGGTGGAGAGCGGCCAATTTGAAGGTGTGGCCGGCGGCAAGGACTACCTGCTCACATTGACGGCGGTAGTGCCCAGAGAAGGCAGCAGAGTAAATCTATATGAGACAATTGTTTACGAGAATGTTAGTAATCAAAAGAAACTATTATCTTTCAAGAAGTTGCTCTAATCAGATTAGGTTCATGGAAAATTTAGTAGTGTTTTATTTTCAATTTTTCAATAAAAAAAATTGAGAGCCATAAGTTTATGGAAATAATATAGATTTTTTTTTTCTTTCTAGTTAACTTTGTAGTCTTTTGGGTTGGTAAATTTTTTTTTTCTTCGAGTGATATCAGGAGGATAAGAGTTATACAAACAAAACTACCCAAGAACCCCCTACTAGTGAAACCACCCAATAAAGTCGAGAGACTCTAATTCTGGGAGAGACAAAAGTAATGCTTTACGTGTCATTCCATGGAGCAGGAACCACCCTAAACTCTATACAAACGGACAAAGTGGTCAGGATTTGACGATGCTCCCGGAGCACCGGACTTTTCGGAAGAAATTTTTTAGGACACCTTGTCGAATCTGGATGACGATCACCTCAAAATCACCTTCCCACTATCACTATTCACTTGTGTGATTATTGATAAGTATGGCAAATTGGTGACCACAATGGAAGCACTTTCTTGTTCATATTCAAGATTGCTTGAGGGGTTGGATTTGACAATGACATTACAGTGATGTTTTATCAATAAAACATGTAAGATAATTATTTACTATTAACGGTTTTCATCCTTTATTGATTTTTTGTGCTTACTTAAGATTTTATTCACTTATGTGGGTTTATATAAGACTTTGTTAGGGTGACTTGGTGTTAACTGCAAGTAACTGGTTTTCGGAGTTAACAAATGAATTTAGACCGTTGATCACCTTATGTTCTCTAGGAAAGTTCGACCTACAGACTAACGTTGTCAACCTCGACATCTTTATCATCATACAGAAACACAACCAAGAAATTTATTGATATATGCATTTTCAATTGAGGCCAATCGTTACAGGACACACAAAATACAACTACATACTAATACTGATGCAGTCAACCATTCAAGTGAAACATATCTTCACTTGCTCTGCCAGACAAATGCATACCTGAAACCGAACCAAACTCTTATACCACTTGTTTAAACCAGATGGCTCCACTTTAGTACGATATTGTCCGATTTTTACTAAACTCGCACGAATTTGTTTCTAGGTATCTTCTCAAAAGGCCTTGTATTGAGAGATGAGCAAAGACCAAACAATATTGGTTACAAGGTCAAAAGAACCTTCTCTAATAGGTAGACTATTTCCATTTTATGGATTATTCAAATCTTAAGAACGACAGATAGATTTCGAATCGCCAAATATGCCCAAATAATAGGTCATATATATGACCCATAATAATAAAGCTCCTTTATTCTTTTCCATTCGTATAGAATATATAACTGGAATGGGCAGAATTTAATGGTAGTCGATGAACTTCATAACAGCCTCCCATTTTTTTCTTTGCTTTTCTGACCAAAGATTATTTCTAGCCAACGAGTGAGGAAAGAAGAGTGATAAATTCGTTCGTCTCAATTATTCGAGTGATATGGAGAAGGTTAATTATGAATTAGATATCATTTTCTTATATGTCCTTCAAACGAAATGGATTCACAGATTTGAAGTTTGCATAGGTCCATTATAACATGTGGGTTAATCAACGCTTAATATTGAGAGTTTTAAACATTCCAATACATGAACGGTAAAAGGGATTGCACTGTAATTACCATTTTGCATGTCCTAAATATCAATGATCAAATGAATGCAAAGGAGAAAAAGTCAATAGTTGTACTATATCAATCACTAGAATAAAAACTACGAATGTAACTGCAAGGGAGGCAAATGTATACTTCTGTAAGCTTATGGCTACCTATTATTCATAATTTTATTTAATAAACTTAAAATTAAAAGCTACTAACTTTCAGGGGTCGGTGCTGATTTGAACAACTGTCTGAAATATACAAGTTTCTTTGCATAAAAAATATTCTCATGGACAACGGTTTCGTATAGTTTTACCATGTTTCCCGTTTCCGGTACAACCGCTGCCACGACGAGCTTGTAGTTCGTGCCACCAGCATATCGGATTTTTCCTTTCTTGATTTTCACAAGTTGTATCGGGAAAGAATTAGATATCATATTGTAAGCCTCCACTGCGTACTCGGCAATCTCTTTGACGTGCTCATCCTTCAAGTTCTTTATCGGCTCCCATTCCCATCCATCAAATGTCGCATTGGTGGTAGACAAGATGACAGCAACAGTGATCATAGCGACAAGAAAGGTAATTGGCCTCATCCTTTTAGTAATTGATTCTTAATTATCTTCAAGATTTTGTGTTGTTACTCTGTTTGGATGTGAGGCAAGACTATTTGTGGTGTGAATTTATAGGCTTTGTAATATGATTGTAATAATAATATTTATATGCAAAATAGGTAAAATTTTGCAATTGTCCTTGGTTTGTATCTTTTTTTTTTTTTACTTTTTTTTTTTACTCTCCTTTTCTTTCGGTTATTTGTTATATTTTGTGTTAAAATAAGATTCTTTAACTAATACTCATATTTTTCTTCCCCAAGATTTTAAATTATGTATATATGTAGGAACGAGTAAAATTGAATACACGATAAAAATGGGATAATAGAACCTAATTATAAAATCAAAAGATTTTATTGTCTACATAATAGTTAATAAGACTTTGTTACGGTGACTTGGTGTTAACTACAAGTAACTGTTATTTGGAGTTAACCAATGATTTAGACCGTTGATCACCTTATGTTCTCTAGGAAAGTTTAACCTACAGACTAACTTGTCAACCTTGACATCTTTATCGTCATATAGAAACACAACTACGAAATTTATTGATATATGCATTTTCAATTGAGGTCGATCTTTACAAGATACACAAAATACCACTACATACTATTACTGATGGGATCAACCGTGTTGGTGAACATATCTCCACTTGCTCTGCCAGATAAATGTTTGCCTGAAACCTAACCAAACTCTCATACCACTTGTAGGAACCAGATAGCTCCACATTAGTACGATATTGTTCTCTTCTCACTGAACCCGCACAAATTTGCTTCTAGGTATCTTCTCAAAAGGCCTCGTAATGATAAATTAATATAAAACCACTACGAGATTTGGAGACTTGTTTTTAGAGATGATCGTAAAAGAAGCGCCAGGGAAGGGTTTGTTCGTGCAATCTGATGGAGATCTCCGTCTGAATGCATACTGTGATGCGGATTGGGGAGGTTATTTGCAGACTAGACATTCTACTACTGGTTACTTCGTTCGCCTGGGTGATAGTCCGATCACCTGGAGGACCAAGAAACTGCAGGTTGTGGCTCGATCTTCAGCAGAGACTGAATATCGTGAAATAACAGTTATAGTTAGTGAAGTTATATGGTTACGGTGGTTACTTCGTGAACTCGGTGTGTCCACTCCTAGCGCCACTCCTCTTCCATGAAAGAACGAAGCACATGAAAATGGATTGTCACGTTAATGAGTGTGTGACTTCGGGAGAAGTTGCGCCAAAGAAGATTCACACAGCCAATCAGGTTGCCGACATATTCACAAAGGGGTTAGGAGCGGAGCCGTTCGCAGTTCTTAGTGGCAAGCTCGGACTTCACGACATTCACTCCTTCTCTTTAGGGGGAGTGTTGTAGGACACTGTTGTGTATCGAGTGTAGTGTTATACTCGATAGTGTCCATGTTATAGAAGTATGGGTAGTGTTTGGTAATTAACCATATAACCCTAGGAGATAGACGTGAAGGGTTATATAGGTGTTGTGGTGGCCGAGTTCGGCTGTGTGTGTAAGTGTGTTGGTTGTTTCACAAAACCTAATAACAACAACATCGAAGGCTCCTTGAGTGAGCCTTTCGTGGATTAGTCTCGTTCACACCGAACGAGGCTACCGCGTAATATGATTTCGATATTACGCAATCTTCGATTAATCACATATGTAATTGGGAACTTAGATATTGAAACATATTAATGTGAAGTTGTTAACTAGAAACCTTATCACATTGTAAATGTAATGTTTGTAACGAAGAATGTAACGAACAACGATAGAAAAAGATAGTCAATAGTCCAAGTAAACATACGAGCGAATAAAAAGACGCCAACCATTAATAGCAATGAATTTGTTACCTAATTCAAAAATAAATTATCATCATAATCATGTCTTGTAGTCTATAAATGCACACACCACAATTACACTTCCCCTCACATCCAAACACACCAATAACAAAAAAAAAAAACAAAATATTGAGAAAAAAATAATTAATTAAGCAACCACTCTACGAAGAAGACGAAGAATGTTACATTTCTCGTTACATGACTACCTTTCTAGCCATCTTGTCCAGCACTACTTTGACATGGGGTTGGTGGCAACCAGGAGTGGAGCTACGTTCAACATATGGTGGGCCCCGGGCCCCTCGAGATTGGTCCCGGCCCCTATGATCTTAAATATATTTAGTACAAATTTTATAAGTTTAACTTGTTCGGTTAGTTCTATCATGTAATAGTAATGTGGTCTAATGGTTATCATCATAATCATGTCTTGTAGTCTATAAATGCACACACCACAATTACACTTCCCCTCACATCCAAACACACCAATAACAAAAAAAAAAACAAAATATTGAGAAAAAAATAATTAATTAAGCAACCACTCTACGAAGAAGACGAAGAATGTTACATTTCTCGTTACATGACTACCTTTCTAGCCATCTTGTCCAACACTACTTTGACATGGGGTTGGTGGCAACCAGGGGCGGAGCTACGTTCAACATATGGTGGGCCCCGGGCCCCTCGAGATTGGTCCCGGCCCCTATGATCTTAAATATATTTAGTACAAATTTTATAAGTTTAACTTGTTCTGTTAGTTCTATCATGTAATAGTAATGTGGTCTAATGGTATCCAAGTTAGACCTGTGTTTTAAAGCACACGGGTTCGATCCACCTAGGCAACATATTTTTTGTTTAATTATTTTGCCCCCCCCCCCCCCCTCGAAATCCTTGCTCCGCACTGGCAACGGATCAGAAACTTGAACGACGAGCACTTCAAGGAGTTTGCTCGATTTGCCGTGCAGGCTTACAATGAACAAGTTTCCGGCCGTGCCCCACTGGAACTCTTGAAGGTGGAGAGAGGCAAATTCGAAAATGTGACCGGCGGCAACGACTACCTGCTCACCTGACGGCGGTTGTACCCAGAGAAGGCACCAGAGCAAATCTATATAAAACAATTGTTTACGAGAATTTTTTTAATCAAAAGAAACTATTATCTTTCAAACAGTTAGCTCAAATCAAAATAGGTCATGGAAAATTAAGTAGTCTTTATTTATTTTCAATTTGTCAAATAAAAAATAATAATTGAGAGCCATAAGCTTATGGAAATAATAAAGATTTTCTTCTTTCTAATTATCTTTGTAGTTTTTGGCTTGATAATTTTTTTATTATTTCCACGTGATATCAAGAGATAACAAGAGTTATACAAACAAAACTACCCGGGAAACCCCTACAAATGACATCCTAGTGACGCCACTCAATAAAGTCTGAAAGACTCCAATTCAAGGAGAGATAAAAATGGTGCTTTACTCGCCATTCTATGAACAATAGTGTTCGCGGCTCTAGAAACCGCCCTAAACTCTATATAAACTGACAAAGAGTCTAGGATTTTACGAAACTCCAGAGCACCGGATCTCCCAGGCTATTGACTCTCCTTTTCTTTCGGTTATTTGTTACATTCTTAATTATAGCATTGCATGTTATGATAAGTTCAAACTTCAAATGTTTTATTACTGAGGTCCTAATTGTAGATGTAGTCAGTAGAAGATTGCGTAAAATCGAAATCATACAATTCAACCATAAAATGAGAATAATTAAATTAACAATCCAGGTTTACTGGTTAAGTGATACACTTGGAAATTGTTCACAAAAATATATGTTACACAGTATGCCTAAGATTGGTAAATTCTATATCGAGACTGTTTGATCAGTGAAGAACAGGTAAGAGTGTATTTTGACTATTTTGCTATGTCACAGAGGTAACTTGTACAAGTTGACTACAAGTTGCTTATGCAGGAAGTAAGGAACTTCGTGCTGCATGCTGTTTATCGTTTGAGAGATTGGATTTCAATCTCCTCCTTATCAGAAACCAAAATAACAATATGATGATAACAACATAAACTTCGAAGTGAAGCGTCCAGAACATTTCGAGGCCAAACTTGCTGCTGCTGCTGCTGCTGCCGCCACAATTGCAACCAGAAGTTCTCCATAGATACCGCTCGGTTGTGGTCTCTGGATCGAGGATGAAATCCACTGTCATGGCTGTCTCTCCTAATGATATGGTTGTCGTCTTGGATTTGTACCCAGGCATAGTGGCCATAACTACAAGCACAAATACACAAAGATAATCATGCACTTACTGGAGTACAAGTTTAGGGTACTGAAGAGTTAGTCAATGTATCATTGTTTGCGTTGTGTGTCATGTTAAGGTTCAAACTTGAAAGATTTTGGTGAAACTTTACCACTTAAAAGACCTTTGGTGAAATCTGAAATTGGGTCAAGTTCTGTCTATATTTAACCTAGACCTAGTAGGACTGTGGTTCAGCCAAACTGAATGTACGAAACTGAAGATACCTTCATATCTCTCTCCAGGTACAAGCAGCCGATGATAATCCCCAAATGCTCTTCCAGCATTAACCTATCAAACAAAATTCCTATGAATGAATAAAGTTTACAAGCTGCAAAAGGAAGATTAGGGACAAAACACTTGTTTAAACTCACAGTGCAACAAGACAGATAGACAGTTCTTAAGTCAAGATAGCTTCAATGTACATGAATGGTCATGCATAAGATGGAATGACGGCAAAAGGAAAAGGAAAGCTGGAGAAAATGAGTTGAAAAGCCAGACTCTTGACACTCACATTCAACACACGTTGTATGAGTAATGGTTTACCTATTGCTGTTTAAAGCATGCTACCACTTTCCCAACTAAAATAAGCCCCTAAACTACAAAGAGTTGATGATCCATCGATCTACTTAGCATTTGCATTAGTCATTTGCCAGTCAAAGCTGACCAAAAGCACAGAAGAAAGTCATAAAGGAAAGGCAATTTGGCAAGAGGCTTGAACATATTAACAACAATACATAAAAGCAAGGTCTTGGAACAAAATGGGAGCTACATGTGATTGGGAAAACCTACTTCACAACAGTTTCAGCACAGACAATGACACAAAGACCTTCAATCGAACCACCGGGAATAACTGAAAGAAGAAAAAGGAAAGTGGAACAGATGATAGGCTTATACCGTGTAGTTTATTCCCTTGATGGTGATAAATCCAGGCAAAGGAGTTCCAGAATCCGAGGCAAAGATCCTTCCATGTACTCCTGTCTATATGAGATTGGTACATAAGTACGGTAACACCATAAGTATGTAAAAAGAATTCCATCACTTCCGATCTTATTAATGTCCCATGAAATTACTAATACCAAAAACCATAACAAGATTGGTAAGCCACCATTCTGTGTATTAACTTTTAAATATGGTTACTTCTAGAAGCTAAACATGACTCGGTTAAGTTCTTTTCTTCTGTTGCGTACAAATGAATACCACAAGCATACCTTCAAAACTGAAGCTGCAAGGTTCAGCAAACTCATTTTGTTGTGCTCCCAGAGTGTAGGAATCTGTCCAAATACAAAGGACAAAAGATAAATGAACGTTGGTTACAGCATATGGAAAGAAGGGGGCAAGCTGAACCTTGATGTGTTAGCATTTGGATAAACTAACAGATTAGGGAACGAGAATCAACCTCATCAATCATTGGCCATTTATCATCACTGACTTCCAAGGTCAACTCAAAACATCCAGCATGTATATAGTTCCAATCTTGCATTGCTCCATATATTGGATACCTGGAGTATAATTCGCAAACAAGTTGAAAAGAATAAAGGGCGCGGTAAAAAAGAAATGTCAATAAAAAATAATTCAAATTTCCTTGAATTAGTAAACAAGTTGCCTTTCATGTAGTCTTCTGCTTAGAAACATTGAAGAAATGTGACAAAAATAGCAGGTTCTGAAACTACCAACCAAAATGCTCCATTTGTTATGCCCCCTGGGAACTCCGTGCTCAAAGACATGTTACGGTGAGATTGACTATAAGTGCTCGCTAGGAACCGGAAAGTATCATCATCCGGGCATAAATAATAATGTTTCCTGAATTTGGAAATCAGAGAAACAAGAGCACATCAATAAGTCAAACATAAACCCTCTGCCAACCAGATGATACTCATAAGGTAACTTTATTAATCACTTCATAAAGTGTAAGTATATGATTGCACAAACATGGTAAATTAAGCAAGACAAAGAGATCATTTCAATGGTAATAGAAGTAGCCCTGGAGTTCTATTTTATGGCAAAGAAAACATTTACTCAAAGAGTCACATCAGATATCATGCGGAAAGGCGAAAGCTATAAATTTACTAGCTACACAAGAATGCAACAACAACAAAAAAGATTGAAAAAGAAAGAAAGGCAACAAAAGAGTACAGGGCAAAAAGCCACTTGAGAAAAAAGTCTAAGAACCAGAGGGGCAAAAACTAAAGACAAAGCACCAGCACAAAAGCAGGGTTTGAGCAAGAAAAGGTTCATCAGTATAGAATTCAACTCTTCTTGTTGGAAAATCCAAATTTATCCTAACTGAAAAATAAGTCTGAAGATGCATTCAAATAAAAGAAATTTACCTTCCATCACTGGTACCATCCCATGGATAATTAGCAACAAGTGCACCCTGAAAATGACAAGACAAGCTGAGAATGTCTACACTCTACAGTGAGCAAGACGAAGTCCAGTCACATGATAACAAACTTGCTTTAGCCAAGACAAAGGCCCTTAATAAGTCTACAAACCATTTCTTTAACTGGTGTGCATGATATGATTGAGTAATAAATAACTCCTACATTAGAACGAACGGAAAAATCATAAATGATAATGAAATCTTACCCCGTGCAAAGTTGCAGAACCTGTAAAACGTATCTCACTCAACCATTTCATAACTGCTGCTGTTTCAGGTTGACGCGTATGTATATCGTCATTCAGAGGAAAGAACTGCATTTAATGTGATCAAGAGTATTTTGACATAAGTCTACAGTATGGAAGATGAAAAGCTGGGCTGAACCATCCTGACCAAAACTTCAATATATATTTCTAGTTGAGTTTGAAATAAAACAATGTTGCATCTTTACTTGACCACAAGTTTCAGTATGAACTATAAGCATGATTAATGGCCTGGACATCTTTTGAAGACATGTTACATGAAGTTGAAAAAGAGTTGCTCAGTGCCAAACAATCAAGATTAAATAGGAATGTGTCAGAGCAAATTGCACTGTCTTGCTTCTTCTCTATGATACCTAATGCAACAATTTTGAAATAGTCTCAACTGTGACTTAAGAAGTTCTTTTGGGGTATATAGAAGGACTCAAAACTTATTAGCTATTAAAGCACACATATGTGAGCTGTTTCAATTGGACTTATTCAGCTAATTGCAAGATATTTTCCAGAAAAGGATGTCTTACCTGGTCAGGAAAATCACGATTCAGATCAATATTTTTTGCATTACCGCGCCTCTGTAATGCAAACCCATCAGGGTTAATTGATGGAAGAATATGAAGGTGACTATTTTCCACAATTGATCTGACCTGTAAAGATAAAAAAAAAACTGGGATCAAATCTAGGAGGCTATGTGGTAAAGGAGATCCAAAAAGTACATATCAGAGTAGAAATGAGAATACCAGAGGATCCTTCAAATGGTTGTCGCATATCCAATTAGCTAACCGAATAAGAAGTTCACGCCCAACAGGTTCATCCCCATGAACATTTCCAATATACTGCAGAAAGTGAAAACAACTATGGAAATAAAATAAAAAACACAAGCCAAGCTTGACAAACGATGACAAGGAAAATATGCACCATAGGAATTGAGATATTTATATAAATGTATAATGAAACTTTTAGTAGACATTGAAGCTTATCAGAGGAACACATAAGCTAGAACTTCAGCATCCAGTTAGATGACACTACATCAATTACCTTGAACGCAGGCTCGCCCTCTTCTTCCCCAGGCTTGTCAGAAATTTCTATTACCCACTAAGAAAATGGAGAAACAAAAGATCATTTAGAAATTTGAGAGAATTCAAATTGTGTGAAAATTACTTTCTCAATAAGACCACATGGCTTAAAGAGGAAAAGGAGATGTAACTAGGGAAGATGAAGTGTGGAACTAACTTCAGCAAAAGTATTACCAGTGGAACTCCATTCACACTCTCCCCAATGCTGAATCCAGAGAACCCCTCAAAGAAACGAACCAAAATAAAAAATCAGTTGCATCACCTCAAAGCTAACAACTTGTTAACATCTAACCAAGTATTATTACCCAAATAAAAAAATAAAATAAAAAAAGACTACAAGACCTTATCAGGGACTACCTGTATATCCTAGAAATGTTGCTACATCTTCGCCCAAAATCCTTCACCGCCTTCTCGAGATCCGAGTTCGTCATGTACCCACGAGCTCTAGCGATCCTGGAAGCATTTTTTAGAACCCCCCCAAAATTTTCAATCCTTTAGAAACAAGGGAAACACCGCAGAATTAACTAAATTTCAGAGTTAGGAAGCCAAATCAGCATTACTTGTTCGGTGACTTCTCATCTTCAAGCAAAACCCGCGCTTTAGTAGTAGCCACATTGCTCCTATCATTCTCATACTCTTCAAACAAACAAAAAACACCACCGAAGAAAATACAGTGATGACCAAGCTCTAGATCCAAGTCATTTCCAACGGGAAACAGAGAAAGAAAAGGATATCTGTTACCATCTTTCCTACATATATCGAAACTATATCTGTTATTCAATCCTCCCGGATTATGCTCCAAATAGGAAAATGACGCAAACTACAAACTTCATCATTTGCTGCTTAAGCTCCACAATTAACCGACTAATTCATCATCAGAAATGCCCACAATTCGATTCAGACTCAATACAAACGAAACGCAGACGGAGAGAGAGAGAGAGGCGGACCTGAGAGAGTGCCACCGCGTTCGCCGCCTCTGGCGACGGCGGAAGGAAGAGCGAGGAAGAAGGAAAAGAGAACACCGACGAGGAGCTTCATTGAGGAGCTGAGAGCTTCAACAGGTAGGTTACACCATTTTTGGAGGATTTCCCGGCAATCTGAGAAACGGTCGATCACAGTCTCTTCCGATCTCCCGGCTACTGCTTTCTGACTTTCCTTGCCTTGCGTCTTTCCTTTTCTTCGGATTGATCGTCGAACGACTGGATGCTTCTTACCCGCACGTGGAGGGAGCTGTTGCACGTGCGAGTTGAGAGAAGTGAGGCGTGGGCTCCGATGAATTGGGCTTGGATCATTTCAAGCCCATATGTGTTCCTCGCCCCGGCACAGCAAATTCTCAGCTCCGTGGGCTGACGTCCGCAAGGTGAAAAATAGATGTAACATACAATTTTTATTTTCTGGCCCATCCAGGGGCTTAAATCTAACGGTGAAATATCGGGTATTGTGGCAATTCGAACATAAGACATCTCGATAATACACGGTTGTACGAAATTCGTAACTGCATGGGCCGCTGGCCCCATAAACATGGTATTTGTATGTTACATGCAGTTACGTATGTTCAAGAGCAATTGGGCAAATATAAAGATAAGAAGTAAAGGGATGTTCCTTGCTCCACGAGACATAGATATCTGTGGCTCTTTTCACTCAGTAGCATCTCTTCCTTCGATCACTCCTTTTTTAAGCTTTCGTATCCAAACATCCCTGGCCATAGTATACAGCTCACTACAAAAAAGAGAAGGTTTGGGGACGACAAAAGTTGTTCCCGGAAATAAGGAAAATCGTCCTTATAATTTTTAGGGACGACTTAGTCGTCCCCAATGTGTGGTTCCCTATACTCTTGTCCTCTATTCTTTTGGGGACGACAAAAATGTAGGTCGTCCCCATGACTAGGGACGATAGTCGTCCCCAATATTCGCAAGTCGCCGTGTCATTTCTTGTCCATGAAAGACAACATGTCGTCCCCATAGCTATAACTTTAGCGACAATAAGTCGTCCTCGTAGCAATAAATTTAGTGACAATAAGTCGTCCCCTAAACATTATTTCTAGGGACAAACTGTTGTCCCGCATAATCGATTTCATAATTGCATTGGGCCAATATAAGGATAATTTGTTGTCCCCTTTACTTTTTATAGGGTCAACATGTCGTTCCTATAGGTGTCAAATTGGAGTCCAAAAATCGTCTCCAATAGCTTTATTCAAGGACTACGAGTTGTCTCCTATACTATATTTTTAGAGACGACAAGTTGTCACCGATGACTTTTAGGGACGAACAATTGTCCCTTAACTTGTGTGTGGGAGACGAGGAGTTGTCACTTATGCACCTTTTGGAGACGACTAATTGTCCCCTATGTGACTCGTATGAACGACATGTTGTCCTTTAGCATATGTCTTTGGGGGCGACTAATTGACACGTGTATCACCTGTGGGGACAATCAATTGTCCCTTACATTGTATTTTCGGGGACGCCTAATTGTCATCTACTTAACTAGTACGGACGACCAATCATCCCTTAGACAATGTCTTTAGGGGAGTTAATTTGTCACCTATATAACTTTTAGGGACACCCAGCTGTCTTTAAATTTTTTCTTTCTCGACGACTATTTGTCCCTTATTTGGTGTCATCAGGGACGCTAAAATGTCGTCTACATAAACTTTAAGGACGACCGGGTGTCGTTTAAAAGATGTCTTTGGGGACGAGAGATTGTCATGTTTGAAAGTTGCGGAGACAATCATATGTACCTTCACCAATATCTTTGGGGCGACAAGTTGTCGCCTATAAGAGTTTCATGGCACAAGTTGCCTCGTGAATCATGACTAACATGATGGAACTTTTAGAAATGACATAACACATTTAAACTCATTATAGCAAAATGTCATAAAACAATCTCCACAAAAAATAAAACAAAACTACTACAATGGCATCCCATCCAACAATTGAAAAACCAAAATTTCTAGTGAAACTAGAAAAAGTAAAATGAAAATGAAAATAAATTGATAACAAGTTTCAAATCCATAAATTGTTCTATTATATCTCTAACAAAAAAAAAATATACTAAAGCTTATCTTTGCATACCACATCATGTATTCTGACCAACAAGCATCCTTCTTCTCTTAACTCCTGAAAATGTAATCAAACAAAATTTAAAAGTTATATAAAGGACAGCAACACGTAAATGTTCACGAAAGTAACATTATAGTGGCAGAAACACTTAGAAGCGAATAAGATCATTTCTACTTTATGTACTGAAGTTCGCTCAAAAACTTCATTATACACACAAGCAAACTCAAGCAAACTCGTACATGCATAATGTTCATTTTACAGGAAACAACTTTGACTAATATAAGAAGGGAAATGGAAATCACAAGCATGTACAAAAGAAAGCAATGCGTGAATTAACAAAGAAGGGCTCATAAGTCATTACCGAAAGTAAATATGCAGACAAGCAAGGATCCAGAAGGCATTCGTTCAGGTAGTATAATGACAAAAAGAACTCCAATCCTTTCCTCTTACAAGTGTAAGCGTATAGCAGTAATGGAGGAAACCACCCTTATAGGATATATAATGATCAGAGCATGTTTTATATTTTTATTGGTAGCTTCAAAAACATGGCCAAACAAAATCCATTTCCATTCATTATCTGATACAACTTTAGAGGTTAACTTATTACCTTCCACAATCAATGAACCAAGTTCTTCCCTACTGGATGCCTGCGAATCGGATTGAGGAGGAATGGAAGGCACTTCAGTCTCTGGAAAATTTGAGATGTTTTCAATTCTGTGTCAGTACATATGAGCGCAGGGCAGGACGTGATCTAAGTTTCGCTCTTTTGTTAGTTGTACCTTTCAATTTCGTTGCTGCAAAAAGATTTACTACCGTGTTTAGAGTGAAAAAAGAAAATAGAACAACATCAACAGACGATTATATATCAGGAGACCATAAGAAAGCAATCGCACATGGTCACTCAAGATAAAAGATTAGCAGGGCAGGGGAAGGAATAATATCAAAGCATGGTTAGAAAGAGATGCAGGGGAAAGCAATAACACTGGTCTCCGAAAATAAAATAGCAGCAGGGAAGGGGAAGGAACAACATCAAAGCAGGAACTGGAACAATGGATCGACGCTGAGAAGAATTACATGATGCCGCAGATGCAGAACCCTAATTGAGATAGATTAATTTACCGCAGACCTATTGAAGGAAATCGGTGTTGGACATAAGTTCTTCCCTTTGTAGGTCAGAAGACGGCAGCTTTTGAGTTTGAAGGGATCATTGAACAAAAGACTTTGTAGGGATTGAATAAAGATTTTCGGTTTACCTTAAAAAGGAAATCAAGAGTCTTGGATTTTTTCCGCCACAGCAAAAAAGAAGCCGCCAAAACTTTTGGGAAATCAAGAGGGAAAGGGTAGCTAAAAATTTAAATTTTGCCCAAGAAGGCCAGCCAGTCATTGGTGAAAGAGGCTGAGGGTAGTTTTTTTTTTTTGGTAAGAGAGGCCGAGGGTAGCTGAGAAATGAAAAATAAATATAAAGTTCATAATTAGTAAATACTCTATTTAATGTGTTTTATGCGTTTAAAATTCTTAATTTTTTTACAATTATTAATTTATTTATTTTTTTGTCTATCTAATTATTTCCTTACTAAATACGTATGACACGTTTAATATCTATATTTAATGAATTAAATTGATACAAATAAAATATGGTTGTTTCATGCATAACCAAGGAGGAAGGTTGTACGAATAAGAACCACTGACCATATACTATATTGGGAGCTCATGTTTCCAAAAGGTTGGAAGGCATCTGTTGATGCAGCTAGTCTAACATTTCGAGGATCACTTGCAAAAGATGGGTATGTCTCATCAAATGACTTCCACACAGGGGTATCAGCAAGATATCGCATTAACTCATCATCACTTCTAGGCTCTAGCTTCCTTATGCCACCTCATCTCAGAAGATGTTTTACTTGACACAAACAACCTCTGCAACTTAGGCTTCAAGGGAAAATATCATAATACCTTGTGTGGTTTTCCCTTGCCTTCTATCAAATGATGCATATCTAGGAAATTCACAAACTGAGCAAGATGTTGCATCTTCATGAGGACCCCTAGTATAATGTGCAGCTCCTTCTCGCAAACATCGTACTTCTCATAACCAAGGCCTAAATCAGAAATATATTTATGAGCACTATTGAACGAATCGGGCACGTTAACATTGCCATAAGGAATTAAGACCCTCAAAATGTCAAGTAAGTCATCGAATGACTTATTAATCTATAGTTATGAATACTTTTAAGATGTGGCAGTTTCACAATCGTCGACATTTTAGTGTACTCACAGTTTGGTACAATTTTGCCTTCGCCTCTTGCAACAAGAGATAGAAGAGGTAGCCGCATCTTGATTCGACTCTTCTTCAAGCTCTTATGTGTGAATCCTCAATCTTTTTCTTTGACTCTCGTTCCATGCAAGTCACCTACCAATCCTTCTATGTCATCGAGCGTATCTTCAAGCATAGTATCATCATTTAGATCTTGGCTAGTGGTTGACCCTGGAGTATTACTTGTACCTTCTCCATGGAAAACCTTTTAAACATAGTATTGCTGGAATGACTAATAAAAATTATCAATAAAATATATATTAGTGAAAATAATAAATGAATATCAAGAAGGAATAATAAATATACTAGAAGATAATAATAATAAATATTTAAAAATTAATATTAGAATATCTATTTAAACCCCAATCTAATTAGAAGCACCATTAAAAATAGTTAAAATAGAACACGATCGACCATATCAAGACCAAAGAAGGATAAATGGAACACAATTAGAAAGAATTAAACATATTCCAGTAGTTAAAAAAAATAGAACGAAAATAGACTGAAAGTAACCAAGTAATAGGTAAACTATAAAAGCTACAACATTCAGTAATAAACTTCATATTCAAAAATTGGTTTGGTATCATAGTCTTCAAAAGAGGATTCCAACTAAACAAAATTCATAGGATATATTTGTTTCATGAAATAATTCAATTATTAGAAAACATAATGATAATTGAAAATACTTATAATGATAATTTTATTCTAAATTTCTTATTCAAAAATTGGTTTGGTACCAGAGTTTTCGAAAGATGATTCCAACTAAACAATAAAAATGATGTTTTTCATAATTCCAAAGGATTTGTTACAATAAGAAAAGTAGAAGAACCAATTCTGAAATTTAGAAAACGGAATATTTCAAGAATATA